GTCCATATGCAGCACAGATGTTCCTGTTCACTATCCCAGCCACTTGGTTGGACTTGTCAGTGTAGACAGTTCCAGTTTTCATCTTACATCTACAGAGACCAGAGACCAAAAGACTATAGACGCATAGACGTGTTTCTGCTGTAAAGTCTTCATTTTGTACCGAGATCTCGCAAAAGTTTTACATTTGGGAGATCTCACAAAAGTAACTCGGGATCTTGCAAAAGTTGTGTGAGATCTCGCAAAAGTTCATCTTTATTTATTTTTTTTCTCCAATGTCCCTTGTTATGGACATTTTGACATGGGTGACTGTGGGGACTAACCTCTTGGAGAAAACTCCATGGGGTCATGTGAGAAACTCTTTGATTTAGATAGGTCAGTATTCTCTTTCCAGTTCATCATTTGTCATCAAATATTATTCATTAATTGAGTGGATAAATAACATACCTACTTTAAACAACTGCAATCCTCATCATTATATGGCTCAACAATGTTTTTCATGTTTGAAATCATCAGATTCTGCTGCACACTGTATATTTCATCTCTTTTTTCAGTATCAGATTTCAACTCTGTGGTTGCTGAGTTGATCGCACAACTTTAGAGACTTGCTACTTTTCCATCCAACAATCAAACCACCAGGGACTAATATACAAGAGGTGAATGCAAGGTGAAATCCAATAACTGCATTTAAATGTAATTAAGCATACTTACGCGGCATTAATCAGCTATCAGAAGCATGTTGTTCAACTCACAAACCCTAACAAAACATTTTGCACCGCAAAGGTAACAGAGAAAAAAAGCACAAGACAGAGAGTTAAACTCTGTAGAACCTGATTTAAAGCTAAAAGATACCTCTTAGGAGAAGGATAAATATAATCAGTTCAATTTCATTTATATACCGGGAATTCAGAACAACAGTTACTTCAAGAAGCTTTATACAGTACGATAAAGACCATGCAATATTATAAAGAAACTCCAACAACTATACAATATCCTTGAAGCAAGCACTTGGTGACAGTGGGAACTAATAACTGCCTTTTTTACAGGAAGAAACTTCCAGCAGAACCAGACTCACAGGGGGGCAGACAAAAAACAAACTAGAGAGTTTAATAATTGATTTACTTATGATTAAATGCAGTAAACTCATCTCTTTTCACTCTCTGATAGAGTGAAAAGAGATGAGTAAAACGCTCACTGAATCATGAGAAGCTGCCACAACAGCATAAGCCTTTTGCAGCATAACAAAGCGATGGTTAAATGTTACCTGATCCAGAGAGCTTTATCAAGAAGGAAAGCTTTAAGCCAAATCTTAAAATGAGAGAGAGTGTTTTTCTCCAAAATCCAAACTTGGAGCTGGTTCCATAGTAAAGAGGCCTGAAAGCTCTGCTTCCCATTCAGACAACTGCAAAGAGGCATGTCGAACCAGATTCCCTATATTGCTTCCCAATAGTGTACAGTCCAGTACTTATCCAGCCAAACACAGTGTAGACACTTCAGCACTAGTTCTCACAGAAGGTAAACAAATCACAACAACAGTCACCTCAAGGCGCTTTATGTTGTAAGGTAGACCCTACAATAATACATACAGGAAAAACCCAACAATCATATGATCCCCTATGAGCAAGCACTTTGGTGACAGTGGGAAGGAAAAACTGCCTTTTAACAGGAAGAAACCTCCAGCAGAACCAGGCTCAGGGAGAGGCGGGGCTATCTGCTGCAACTGGTTGGGGTGAAAGAAGAACACACTGCACGCAGCCAATCTCCAGTCTCAAAGTTTAGTGCCATTTGAACTAGGCTTCTGTTTTGGCTGCCATGACTGCCCTTCACTATCAGGTCTGTTTACTCTGATGTCAGCAACATGTTCACTGGAACCAGGTATGCTGTTTGTACCAAAGTAACCAAGACAACCACTTTGGCTTACTTGCAACAAACACTGGTTAAAGAATGGAATGCCATCCCACAGCAATGTGAGACCAAGTTGGAGACCAGCATGTGGAGGAGGTGCCAGGCTGTTGTGGCTGTGCATGATTCTTCCACATGCTACTGAGGCCCCTATTTGTTATGAATACATTTTTAAGTTGCCAATATGTCTTCTTTCTTCAGATTCCAATCATTCAGCAGGATTAGTTGTTTATTTACTGTCAGAGAACATTTGGCAAGTTTTCATGGGTGCAACCCAGATAGTCCACTGTGCTGCTTATACTACAGGTGCATTTTAATTGTAAATGAGAGAGAATTTAAAGGGTAATAAACAGTCTCTCTAGTGGTATAAGACTTATTGCCATGAAGCATTGTTACAACAAAGAAATAAACGACCAAACACACATTTCTTTACTTTCTGTGTAAAGTTTAGTTTTTTGGAGTTTTGTTGTATTTTCATGCTTTCTGTGTGCAGCATCTTTTGTTTAACTGAGTCAGGAGTAAAGTCTATTTTTACCATCTGGTCATCAGTTTTTTTTGTCAGCCATTGGGTCAGGACTAAGAACTTTGCCCTTAAGTTGACATAATTAGGTCATTCAAATGACAATTCGAATTTTAAGGGAGGTGAACAGCAGTGCAATATTCATGCAGCTCTTCTCAACAAGGGACTTCAATTTTGTGTTACTTTTTGTTTAAACATCCACTTTCTTACAGCAATGACTGACATGTGAAAGTGCACCTTAGAGTCTTATGCATAACTCTTTGTTTCTTTATTTCTATTTTGCAATAAAGAACAGATGAAAGGTTATAATGATAAAAGCATCATAATGTATAATTTTTTTCATATCAAATCAACTAAACCATCAGTTTTTGGTGGTCTGAGAGAGAACGGGTGTTTACCTATGGTAATATTAGGCTGGGCATGCATAAAGGCATGGAGGTAGTTTCAATTTTTCTTTTATGTCCAGTGACTTTCTTTTCCTCTTTGAAGTCTGAAATTACTGATCATATCCAATGTAGAGGCTCCTGAGTAAAAGCTCACCTCAAGCTGACAAACAATTTGTGCCATTCCCTTAAGTGTGATCACTGCATTCAATTCAGGGTCCGTTTTTTTTAAACTGAGGGGAAACATGACCCATATACCAGAGCTGTGATCAAACTGAAATCTGTAAAAAAAAAATAAATTTTAAAAAATTAAATAAAAAGCTGGAATTTAAACTCTGAAGATAGGGATAAAAGGATGTGACTCCTATCAAAGATTAACATTGTTACAAAAGCCAAAATACCAATGACTACTTATGTATGTTGTGTGCATTTGGCTGTGAGGAACAGAACAAAAGCTGTGCCTGTTCTGGATTCATTTGTCCAGTTCATATATTTTCATGGTAATTTTGCATATTTCTTATTTTTTTTGTTCATATTTCTCACACTTTCTGTCATTAACTCTGTGAGTGGTAGTGGCTGTGTGTACCAGTTTGCTCACATTATCATAATGAATATTAAGCAGATGCAGTGTTTACCATATTCACAATTACAAAATCAAGATGTACCTTTTATTCTAAAGGTAAGCAAGCTTTTCTATCTTTAAATACCTTATTTAAAGCACATTTCATAGATTAGATTTGACTTGCATTAATAAGCAAAAAACATGAAATTAATCTAACATTTCATCCTTTTGTCAATCTCCAAAATAATGCAATTTATGAAAAGGTTTATTGGGAACCTTTGGTCAGATACAGACATTAATTGTCGCAGTCTTAATAGCCTGTATGATGATTTCTGTCCACATCCATCTTTATTCTCCTTATTTCTTATCTATGTACACTCACACTTCTAATCAACTATTTAGTAAAAACATATGTACGTTCGCTATCCATTTAAAAAATGGGCTTTAATGTTTTCTTTTAGCTGTTTGAATACTGACCAACAAATTAAAGTTGCCCCCAACCTGCCCCCAAAGACTGAAACCTAGTTCAAATGGCACTAAACTAATTAGTATGGATGTATTGAGTTCTGAGGTTTTAACAAGCTAATAGATTTTATCATTACTGTTGCCTCACAGCAACAAAGTTATAAAGTAAATACTTTGTAGATAAACCCTTTGCATCCCTACGATAAATGAAAGGGTATCCTGTAGGTGATGGAAGAACAAATAGACCGTCAGGACTTCTGAACGTGGACAACAGCTTTTAAAAGGCAGCCTCGTAGCTGTAAAAATCCAACAGATGATTAACGAATTCAACAAGACCTAATATTAATAACTCAGCTTGTAAATTGCCCTGTGTGTGTGTGTGTGTGCGCGCGCGTGCGTGCGTGCGTGCGTGTGTGTGTGTGTAAATGTTCCTTCAAATTACTGCCACGAGCTATAATAAAATAACATCAAATAAGTTCAGTTGGCCTTCCTTGGTCAATATCAAGAGAATAATAAATGAGCTTTCTAACTCTAATGTCAGTGCAACATAAGCTGCATTAATAGCAACATTAATGATGTCTTGGGGCCTAACGTGAGTCATACTGTTTGCTCTTTTTTTTTTCTCTCTTTTCCATCAATCTATTCTTGCAGAGCAAACAAGACAAAAACTTGAATAAATAAAGTCAGTGGACTTCAGTGGTATTCTTAAGGGCAGGTGCTTCATCATATTTCACACTTTTAGATGTCAGATGCAAACTTCACACAAACAGCATGAACTTATCACTTAAATTTTTTATTGACTTTTTTTTTCCTCTTATGAACAGTAGAACAAACCCAAATGCTGCACAAAAAACACAAACTTTATATCAAGGCCTGCAAATGTATTTTTTCTTTGACATTCAGTTGAACAGCAGAAACTAAATCATTTTTGAAAGGGTAGAAAACTTTTATAAACTTTACTGTACAAATTATACAAATGAAGTTCCATTACAAGCTTGAATGATAGATAGGCTCTTTTGAATGAGGACAACATTATGTGTTTTTGCTGATGTTGTTATGAGGATGATAACGCTGATGACCACAAACAACATGACGGTGACTTTGATGATGAAAAAATGTATGATTTCTTTTCTTTTTTTTCATAATCAAAATCAGAAATCTGGAGGGGGGGGGGCATCAAAGTGTTGCATTATGACAGTTGCAGCCAAGCATTTTAAGGTAATAATGGCAACAAAAGAAGCAAAAAAGATATGCTTTACAGTGAGATGAGGCCTGGACAAAAATAATACTCATATACAACAAACAGTATCCACTCAAATGCTAACGACAGATTCAGAGTACATTTGAATCAGCAGTATGAGCAGTTGTCATCAGAAAGGAGGTTGTTGTGTAAATTCAGGATAATATGTTCTCTCCTTTTGGAAAAGCTGCTTGTATTTGACATCATCCTGTACATTCTCAAGTTTGACTCATTTGATGACAGATAGTTGAGTTTAAATCTTTCCAAACAAAACTCTGGGAAAAAAATGACAGAAGTATTGTAAGAAGCCCTTTCAATGCACTCCCTGGTATAACAGTCAGATTGAAACACTTTCATGGTGTTTCTCAGCATTCCTCATTACACTACAAGGCTGCATCATTCTCACATGTTTAGCCTACACATCAGCCTCATATGTATCCAGAGTTCCACCTCTCTGACCCTGCCTTGTTTGTCTGTCCTCGATGCTCTCGACAGTGAACCATGAACAGTTCTCAGCAGGAAAATAATCACCTTCTCATTTTCTCAACTGCATGTACTCATCTGTATTTGTCATGGAAAGTGGGTTTATATGGATCACTGTGTTTTGGGTCACCTGAAAATATTTCATTGATCAATTAGGCATGCAGAGGAGCTGAGAACACCTCATTTTGCAGTCTGGTGCTGCCTTTCTTCTTCTGTGAATCATTTTTTGAAGCCCTGCCACAGTGTTTGATCTCCACGGTGCCCTATTAGCCAAGTGCATGTAGGAAGATTAAGAGGAACTGCTGAGAAATAGGTCTAATGGTGGTTGTCCTCTGACCACATTGTGTACACTCACACAGGATGCAGAATACTTCATTGTCTGAAAAGCACTGTGCTAAATCAGCTTCCGCCAGCTAGGACTTTCAGACTTCTCACTAGTGTGGCTGATGTTCGCTTCACAATTCAAATTAATACCAAAGACATGGTGGAGATTTTTACATGAAAAATGGAAAGTATATAAATTGGTCTTTTTAAAAATCTTGGATTATTAGATAAAACTATTACCACAAGATAGGGAAGTGAGACTTGAACTAACAAGTATTTTATTACTTGGAAATTCTTGATTGCTAGAAAAATAGACTCACCATATACATCCTTTAATGCCAGGACACACATGGAACAGAAAAGTTGTCATTTCTTTAAGCGATCCTGTTCCAGGTGTAAAACTAAGGCAGTAAAAAGGCAGTACAGCTTCAGGCAGGATGCACATAACATAAGAGCTTGTTTGTGTCTCTTGGTTGCCACTGCCTCAAGCTTTTTAAAAAAACTTTCCCCTTTTATGTTCAGCCATCATTTCACTTTAACACACACACACACACACACACACACACACACACACACACACACACACACACACACACACACACACACACACAAACATAATACATCAATCACAAAAAAGATTTCATTAATTGGGGAGGGGTGGGGGTGCTGTCACAGTATGAAACCACGTCAAAGGCTTAATCAGGCTCATGCTTTGCTCACATTATTGGTAATAATGGCATTATTGTGTGCATATAAAAGTAGCCATTCAAACAAACAACTGCAAAGCAATTTCAGGCAGAACAATTCTAATTCATTTTGTCCAAGGACGGACAAGTTTACATTTGAATTCTTTGCAAAGGGAACAATAGAGCACGATGCCATATTTAGCTATGTTGTGGCCATGAACTGAGCAGTACAGCGCCAATCCTTAAAAGTATTCTGCAGGCAGCCTCTGTAGACACTTATATGTTTCTAGTAGTGAAGCTTATGGTGGATGTGGCTTTAAGTGTTCTCACTAAAGAGTGCACAGGGAGGTCACTGAAAGCTCCATCTTAATTAGCAAAACATCATCCTTTAAGGATATGACTCCAATTTTCTGCACTATGAAAAAAAGTGACACCATCCATCAGTTCTATGTAAATGTTCGAGGTGTACTCAAAGACAAAAGTTGACTCTGACTGCTAAATAAATACAAAACACAAAACTGTCACTGATGATTATTTATGTCCATTGCTTTCATTGCATAGCTGTGAGGTCATTAGACACCTGCATGTGTGGGGAAAGTTTCAAATATTGTCTTGTCTTTCATAAACACAAATATAAATATTCCGTCCAAATAGCACATTTTTTGTCTCTGTAATTTGCTCACATAGCATGTACACAAAACATTTCTCATCACTCACAGATTCTAATATTGTAGAAGCAAATCTCTCAGAGAAAAGCAAAAACTCGCATTCATTTCACTGGATGTGAATATCAGCAGAGGTATTTTAACATTCGTCTCGTGGGTATGGAGTTTTTGGAATTCATTCCATTCTTCTTCACTCACTTGGAAGAGATTAATTTGTCACTCCAGACAAATGGGTGTGTCGATTTCCAAGTTAGTAGACCATGTAATGGAATCAATTAAACTGAGATGCTCTCATTGGAAGGTTTGATTCCCTCCACCAGCACTGCACTTCTCCATTTTTTTTTTCAAAAGCAGTGACTTGTTCAAACGTGCCTGGTAAATTTGAAAATCTTGGATTAGATTTTGAAATGCAAAGCTTTCTTTCAATCTATAATTTCTCTGTGCAAGAAGAGAAATAGAAACTGTCTGATGTGATGATTTCTGGTTTGTACAAACAGTAAAGTTCTCACATTTGGATTCAGATAGAAATGCCGAAAATCAACTGGGACAATATGAGTGACAAAAAAAGAGTCACCTTTTTGCTTTGCTAACCCCTGCTGCTGAGATGTCCTTGAAAAAGGCACTTGACCTCCCAACTGCACAGATACAGCTGCTTAGTGACCACAAGTTGTGTACAGAATGTTCAGACGTTTGATGTTAAGAATCACATCAACCCAGCCTCTATAAATTTTACATATGGGAACTTATGAAACATGATCACTGCCTTTCTTGAAGCCTGCGTACAGGCAATGTCACGTGTATGACGCACTACATTTTGTAGTAGTGCAACATGTATGTACTGGCATAATCTGCAAGTGCTGTATGGCTGGGGTTGATGGTGGGTTTTGTTCTATAATTTATATTGCAGTTGTGATGCCAAAGGCAAGCATTTGCGTCTGTATTTTAGCAGTGACAGCATGTGTGGTTAAATAAGAGCAGACCTTACAGTGTTTTTTTAAGACATTTTGCCCTTAAATTAAAACAAAACAGCGATCTTTTTTCTTTAAACACTGACTAAAGCTTTGTGTCATACTACATCTGAGTTATTCATTCGCTGCAGATGTTCTATTTCATCGTTCTCAGTATGTTTCATAGAAATGCATTTTTTGTGGCAAGTTTGAAACATGTTATTGGTATTTCTAGAGGCCAAGTTTGTTAGCTATTACTGGTTACAAGCACAGAAATCCAGAAAAAAAATGAAAAATCAAGTGGTGCAGTGGAAATTATACATAATTTGGGTAGGGTTAGGGCCTTCAAAAATGATTTACAAATCAGTTTAAAGTGTTAGAAATATCAAAACAAAACAAACAACAACAACAACAAAAAACAACTTGCAAAATGAAATGTTGCAGTTAACAATTTTGTAGCGAGCTGCCGTGAAAATGTCCCCCAAGAGCAAAGCTTAAAAAGCTAAGAAGGATATGTTGCACAGTCATGATACTGGAGAACATACTTGCAGCTGAAAATGAGTTGCAACGTAGCATGAATGGTGGTGTATGGATTGTTGAAAGTGTTCAACAGAAAGACACAGGGTGTTTTAGGGAAGGGCTTCAGGCATAGAGCGGAGAAAGGCCTCTCTGTTTGAAAGTCTGCGGTGTGTTTTGTCACCCACTCTGGGAAAGTGGGCCAATACTGACCGCTAAAGGGTCCATTCAGGCATGAGGGGGAACGTGTAAGAGCTGGAGCAAGAAGAAGGAGCAGGAAAGGTGAGAGTTGTGGAAGCAAGGTGGGACAAGAGAGGGTGGGTAGGTGGGTGGCAGGCAGGCAGGCGGTGGAGCAGATGTGAGCAGAGCTGAGGACGAGCTTCACACAAAGACACTGTCCCATCGATGTCTCCATTACAGCCTGGAGCAGGAAGGGGAAGGAAAACAAAAACAAGATTAAATTCTCCGTCTTAACACACAGCACCACAGGAGTCCACACTGTTAGATGTCTAACTGCTGTCATCTAACAATGCAGAACACATGGAAATCAAATTAAACACATCCTAGAACTGTATTCCAAACAGTCTCTTTCAAATTGTCACATACTGGCACTTTTCAGAATTGGTGTAAGTCTTCAGATCTTGATGCACTGTCAAGATGTGAAGGGTGTGCCTTCAGACTTGTAGCAGATTTAAAGCAGTTATTTCTATATGTTGTGCAGATAAGACATCCAAACTTTGCGTCCATGAAAGTGACAATGGATCTTTGTGAGAAGCACTGTTGTTACACATTATCAGCCAGATGGGCCAGCATAGGGCCTGCTGGAGGGGAAGACAGGGTCACATCCTCCATCCTTTGGATTATGTAAGATTTATTTTTGGGATCTACAGTTCAACCAGTGTGGGTTTGCCAAGTGGATGTCAGGCAGTGAACCACTCAGGCTCTTGAGCATGATGTGAAATTACCACAGTTTGACCACCAAAAACTTCTTCCCCGAACATGTCACACAGACTACCCTGCTGGTTGCAATTATTTAACATTTTCACCTCATTTGACGGGGAATGAGTCCCACTTTTGCATGGGATTTAGTGCTTACACACAGGTGTTGCCAGTCTATTTTGTCTTGGGGGGGGGGGGGGGGGGGGGGGGGGTTAAGCTTCAAAGCTTAATGAGTATTTTCTAACTGGCACGCTCAGGCAAGCTAAACCTTTAGGACATCCCCATTGTATGGCACACTTTGTAGCTCTTCTGCTCTCTCTTTCTGTTTGACTTCCAAACCCCTGATCTAATGAAATACATCTCCAGCATAATAAACCATGTGGGTGTCTTTAAATGAATAAAGAGAGCCCTGCAGTCCTTGGAGGCTGTGTGACAGAGCTAATCTAAATTTGCTATTTTCGAAATATTTATGCTGTGTGTTTTTGTAGACCTATATTATATTTGCAAAGGTGAGCACAGAGTTGGCATAATTAGCCTCATTAAGCCAATGAAGTGCCAAGAAGAACATTACATGACAAATAAACTTTGACGCAACTATGTTTGCACGTTTAGGTGCAACGCAACTGGTGGCTGGATCAATTTCAGTGGCAATATTTTTACTTTTTTACCCCTATTTTTAATGATTGAATGGGAAGAGTTTGGGGTGGATCGTATACCATATGCGACTATGTTTAGCCAAGAATGGCACGTTGGTTGAGGTTATGGAGAAATTGTTCTTGGAGCTAAATATAAATAAACACATTTTGCACATAACTTTGGATTTCTTCTGCATTAACCCATACCACAGTTTTTCTGCATCCTTCTATGATAGCCAATCATTTAGGGAGAAAAATTGTTTTAGCTTATACACCAAAAGAGCAGCTACCTTTGCAGTGATTTTTGTGTCATTTTGAAACACATTCAATTCTCATAATACATCTTTAGTTACACCCTCTAAATCACTCTGCAATTAAACTTTATTGAAATTCTGCTGAGAATATAGTGTATAATTTTCCATTCCCTTTATTATAGTGCATGGTTCCTGTTTTGTGCTGCCATGAGGACCATCAATATTCAGTATAGGGAAAGTATTTTTTAGTTTTATTACCTGCAGCCGTGTTGCTCTTACAGTATATTTTCCTTATGATTAGCTCTGAAAGTACAACGATCTCAAAATGGAATAAATAAAAAATGAAGATGATGGACAAAATATTACGAAGACATGATCAAAGGTATCAACCCAATGCAAACATCAGAAAAACATTTTATTTTAAATGAAATAACTTGACATTTATAACAGGAAAGTGATTTTCTTTTCCAATAATAATGAATAATTTCCTAATTGAATTAAATTAAAATTATTATTTTAATATAAAAGCATCCACTTGCTTTTATACAGTCTTGACAATAACTTTTTCAAACCTCAATTTTTTCAAATCTTATTTATGAAACGTTGAGCGCAGAAAGAATTACAACTTAGTATTTGCAAGAACTTGCGTATCACTTTAGAAAGCTGTTAAGCCTGCAAATCCATTGTTCCTTTAGGTTTTTTAAGGAGCTGTGTTATTATTGTTTCTTTTTTTAATTAGGATTTTATTATGATAGCCATCAAGTGGATTATCCATAATAATCACAGCAAAGGAACATTTAATTTAATGACCTTGTGAATCCCTGTTGTTTTTATTTTTGCTTCTTATGTCAGTATATACTATAACAAGAAATGCACTGAACCTTATCGGGTTTTAACACTTTTAAGAATGTCGACAGAAACCAAACATTCATGCTCTGGTGGGCTTCAGGCCTTCCTGAGATTGGGTGATGTGGATTTTTTACACTTCGGTGACTGAGGCTGGACTTTAATGTTGGATGTAGAGGAGGAGGGCTGGTTGTCCACCTATCTATCATTTCATTTTTCTGCTCCATGCCCTCACTAACTCATTCTGTCTATTCAACCAGTGAGTCACAGGTCTGACACTGTATGACACAGATACTTGCACACACATGCACACACTATCATCAGTATGCCAGTTTGTGCACGAAAGACTGGAAATAAATGAAAGAATTTTTGTACTATTGGAACAGCTTCACTGACGTGAATGCCACGATACATGTTCAAAGTAATTCTGATGTATATAAAGTTGATATATTCAATATCCTTGGGTTCCTTATGTTTGTCTAAAATGTGCTATGAATAAGCTTCTAACCAAGGTACACAAAAAAGTATCACAGATACTTATGTATATAAGTTTAGAGTTGTGAAAAGTTAAGATAAATGTTCATTGAAATCAAGACCCCATTTTTGCACATCGCGCATTGTTATATGATTATTATCTTGATATCTTCATCATGTATTGTTGAAGTCAGATGTTAGTGCCCATGGGGATCTTTCATCATTGCCTTCCTACAGCCTTTGAAATAAATGGTTTCTTTTCATTTTAGGGGACAAAAGACTTCAAGACAAGTACAAACTGATACAGTCTACTGTCCTTTCCCAAAAAAACCCTCATATTTCATTCACAGTAGATTATAGAAAACATCAAATATTTCAGCTGAGAAAATGCACCAATTTAAGAAAAATATTAGCTCAATTTAAATTTAATGTCAACCCTACATCTCAAAAAAGTCAGGATAGGAGAACAAAGCACTGGAAAGGTAGGTGGTACTAAAAAAGGAACAGCTGTAGCAAGATTTTGCAACTAATAAGGTTAATTGGCAACAGAATGATGTGCCATCTTCGAGAAGAAAAGTTTCTCAGAGGTAAAAACAGGCAGAAGTTCACCTCTCTGCAAAGAAGAAAAAACAAACAAACAAACAAAAAAAAACAAAACAACAACCCCAAACTGCATCACAAATTCTGGAACAATTTCAGAAAACTGTTCCTCAACATAAACTTGCAATGACTGTAAATCATAACCTACAGTACATAATGTCACCGAAAGATTCTGAGAATCGGGATAAATCTATGTGTACATGGGATAAGGGACAAATTAATACCAGATGCTCTTGAGTTTCAGTTCCTCAGTGGCACTGCATTAAAAACAGGCATAAGCCTGTCATGAAAACCATTGCATGGGCTCAGGAACACTTCCAGAAAACCCTGTTTGTGAACACAGTTCGACATGGCACCTGTAAATGTTAAGCTTCATCATGCACAGAAGAAGCCATATGTGAACATCATCCAGCAACACTGGTGTCTTCTCTGGGCCATATATGCTTGTTTAAAATGGACCGCACCTAAGAGGAAAATTGTTCTGTAGTCAGACAAATCCAAATTTGAAATTAGTTTTGGTAAGCATAGACACTGCATCGTCTGGACTGCAGAGGAGAGGGATCATCTGACTTATTATCAGCACTCAGTTCAAAAGTCTGCGTCTCTGATAGTATTAGTGTGTGTTAGTGCCTGCCTGCTGTCCACACATTTCACTAACTGAAAACATTTGGTGCATTATGAAACACAAATACAAAAAAAGACCTAGGACTGCTGAATAGCTTGAATCCTAAGACATATAGGACAGCATTCCTCACCCAAAATTCCAACAATTAGTCTGCTCAGTTCACAGATGTTTACGGCTGTTAGGGGATGGTAAACATCCCAGCTTTTTTGAGATGTGCTGCTGCCATGAAATTTAAATTGGAGTTTATGAAATTTGCAAATCACTGCAGTTTCCTTTTATTTTTACTTATCTGAGCTCATTTAGAGTTGGGGTTGTACATTATTTAATAATGGATTGCATTTATATAGCGCTTTACAATTCCACTATTCATTCACTCACTGGTGCAGGCAAACCACAGCTGTAGCCAAGGCTGCCCTGGGGCAGACTGACAGACGCGAGGCTGCCGTATCGCGCCATCAGCCCCTCTGGCCAACACCAGTAGGCAGTAGTTGAAGTGTCTTGCCCAAGGACACAACGACCAAAACAGAGAGAGCTGGGGGATCGAACCAGGACTTTTAATGAATTACCCATTTATTTTTGATTTTCTAAAAAGGGCAATGGATTGTGTTATCTTACTGCATGCAGGCTGGGGCATTTCCACATGACAAACCCAGCTAAACTTAGTTTATGGGTGTCATGGAAACAGTTCACTGGTAGAAAAAGTAGAAATAAACCTGTAGATTTCAACTGATGTCTTTAACCTCTTAAAATAATGGCTCATTTAATAGATCTTGTTGTGGATGTAAAGTTGGTTTTAGCCTATTCTTTCAAGATTTTCTTGAAAGAATATCACTTTAAATTGCTTTTCACTACAATTGTGTGCTGCTGATTGCTTCAGTTAATTTTTTTTCCAAAGGATGGACAGCTGGGAATATTCAACAACTAGAGAATTCATTTAGTTTGTGAGCACCTGCAGAGTGGCTGCGTGCTTTGGCACTATCTCACTGCACAGCATCTTACAATAAAAAACAGGATGTTAAGAGTTGCGATGGTTCATTGGTATTTTATCTTCATCTCTGTATTATTTTTCCACCATAGAAACAGCACATTGACTAAAGCTACTGTTCTATGTGACTAACAGCCATCTTATAAGCCTGCAAATTATATAAAATAGATATTTCAATTTTATTATGACAGTTTATTAGAAATTGAGAGCAGATCATCGAAATCTACATTTTACTTTTACTATATAAGACTGAATTTTAGGAAGTGCATTTGTTTGTGAAGATGTGTTAAAAAATTGAACCAACATAAAATATGGATAAGGGTCGACTAAGATAAAAGATGTCATAAAAGAAAGAGAAAACGTCCAAAATGAAAACATCTTTTTATTGTCATACACTTTTTAAAGGATGAGTGCAAATAAAAGAGCTTGTGATCAAAATCTACTCATCACTAAGCCATGGACCATAAGGCATCATTAAATACAAGCTTTTTGGAGCTATCATCTACATTACAGGGACGGAATCAAGGAAAAGAAACAACACAGCATCAATGCTTATGCAATTAGAAGGAAAATGAAGGAAATAAATTAAAATGAACAGATAACAAAGGCAACAAAAAACACAACACAATTTATACATTCAAAAGAAAAAGTTCAAAAAGTTCACAAGGAATATTATTATCACGGCAAGTGACGATAAAACATTGTCTACAATCTGTTATGTACACTTGGCACTAATGTTATATCTTTGATTGTTGTCCAGTCGGTTTGTTGTCAACTTAAGCATGTGCACAGGTCGTAACTTTTTAAATTTTAATTCTAGTATAATCATTTATATAATCTATAAATATGCTGCAACAATCATTCTCTCGAACAAAGCTGTTGAAAAGTTTTGCAAAGCCTGATGTAAAATTTGAGATCAAACTGCTCAATGGACAACAGGTCATCAGAAAAATGCTCACATACTTTTTATATATAGTATTGAAGGATTTTTTTTTCTTAACAAGAATCAATCTTTGATAGTCCATCTCATGCACTTTAAAGTTGTAAACAGTACAAATATAAATGATCCACTTACAATATTTGAATCTGAGCAATTCCAAAATAGACAGACTCCCAAAAACAGCAGCAGATTGTTTGTATGCATTTTCCAACACTGGCAGATGTGTATATAATGAGGTGAAAATGGCTATTTAACATGACTGGATTGTCTCCATCTATTCAACGTGGCTAGACAGAATCAAGCAGTGTACAGCTCAAATTATGCCACAGCTTCCAATTTCATGGTGATATGACTTAGCTAGTTCTCTATAACATACATTTAAAATATATTTTGATATACAGTATGAAGTAGAAAAATGGCCAGGGGTGGTCTTCAGCATCCTGATATGTTTTATTTATTTTTTTCCTGATATGTTAAAGGGAAAATTCAGCCAGATTTAAGTTACATGATTGCAAGTTTCAGATTATTTTTAAATGTGCTCCACAGTCAGCTTTATACCAGTGTTGTTGTCAAAAATAACCCATTCAAAGCCATCATTGTAGACACAGATGGAAAAGCTGTTGTGTCTAATTAAACAATAAACCTGGCAAAGAAGTTAACACTATCAAATCTTGCCAATTATCACAGCAAATAAAGACATATATTCATTTTCTACTGCTCCAGTTTTTCTTATCCTTTAGAACTTTTATAGCATCTGATGGCAGGTATATTTAAAACAACATCTAAGGGCAAACAACGATTTTTAAGTAACCATCAGAGAGGAACATTACATTTTATCTGCTTGCATTCACAAGGAATGCCATATTTCTGTTATATTCATAAGGAGCAGGTAGCTAAGAAAAATCACACTGACTCTGTATACCAGATGAGAATTAACTAAAATCTTACAAATGATAATTTTTTTAGTAATGCAGAGTGGTGCAACCATAACTTACGGTGGCTGACATTAGCAAAAAGCAGATTTACCAATTTATGCAATACTGGAAGAAGTAGCTTTAGCATTATCTCGTAACTCCTCAACAACAGTTGCAAAGTCCTGCTTTAATTACCTACATCTTACAAGAATGTATCATTTGTATGCATCTCTTTCTCAGATATGAATGCAGTCAAGCTGCCTGTAAAATTCATTTTGAACACACAGCTGATTACAAGATTATTTATTCAGCTTGGAAGAGTAGATCTTAAAACCTGCCATCCGAGAACAGTGCAGAGGGAGGGATTTCAATAAATATTTAAGATTAGGAAGAATTTATTTGAAGCGTTCAGTTTCAAAGTGACTCCAACACTGCTTTTAAGAAACTTTGTAACCTTTTTTAAATTTTATTTTGCTATTCAGAAGCCACATTTTTCTCAATCTATGTCCAACAGTCACTTCAGTGCAGAGATGGGGATTTTAAGCTTTTTAAATCTTTTCCATTGGATACACATATTGAGTAAACTAATGTGTAACTTGTAAAACTTTGTGATTAGGGTCTACAACTTTAAAATAACTTAAAATTACTGTACCGACTACACTGTAACAAGCTTTGGATCTATATTATACTGTTATCTGCCATTATCTATTTAAAGAAAAATAGTATACAGTGATTTATGGGAACTGGGGAATGGTTTTTTGGGGGGGGGGGCTCAGTGACAGCACTACCGAAAGGTAATTAGTTCAGCTGACGAAAACTACATTTCAAGTGTCAGCAATTTCACAGAACATCGTCAAGTAGGGGATTCCTGGTCTGACCGGTGGCTTTTTTTTTTCTTTTTCTTTTTTTTCCCAAAGGCTGTTATTGTTCAAACATCTAGCTTATGTTCACAGGCAATATTCAAAGCACAGGCTGATCAGAGAACAGTCTCCCATCAAAGAACTGGGCCAACACATCCCCACACAAACAGGGATGCTGGCTTCTTCACATTCAAATGGTACGGTGTAAATAAAAGGGCATTTTCAGTTAGACAAAACATTTGAGACAAAGATGAAACCTGGACATCCACACATGAGACAATGAGGTAACGCTGACAAAATGGTCTACACATTTGACAGACATAAGGAATGGCAACATAATGTTATGAATATATACAATATGTGATGTTCAACGTTTACACTCATTCGAACCAAACGAGAATAAAACATGGAAAAAAAACACAAAAAACAACATTTGTTCAAAACTTTTTTTTTAAGTCCAGGATGACGTGATCTGTTTGAAATTACAAGCAAGATACAGCCAAGAAATAAATATAATGACGGGAACAAGTCAATAGTAAAAGACAAAAAGATAAAGGAAATATATCCAGTATGGTGTGAATCAAACCAAAGAAAATATGAGTCCCGACTGCTTTGAGAAACTGGACAGTCAACGTATCTGTACACACACATGCCAACATTCCATGAAAATACACACAGCACGGGCAGTTTTCATCACTGGGCTGGCTTTTGGATTCAGTGCATTCTTTAAGGAGGTGGGTTATTTATGTGGAGTTATGGCGGCTGCTTTTTTATACTTGCTGATTGTTTGCCGTTTTATGTCCCTAACTTATTTGACATACTCAGCTGACTTCCAGAAGTGCCCTGGGTGGGAAAGGCGGCGGTTCCTTTTTGGCAACTTTTCCAGTAAATCTACCAGCTTGGAGAAGCTGGGTCGCTCCTCTGGCTTGTATGCCCAACAGAGGAGCAGAATATCCTGGAAAGCAAAGACACAGAAAAAAAACTAATTATTTGATCTTTTTCAGGTGCTTATGTGATGAAAGAAACAGGTGTGTCCAGGTTGTCTAAAAACTTCATGAAGCTAGTTGGTGTAATTTGGCCTGATTATCTTATAGTGAACTGTAACACAAGCAGACCCAGCAATGGTTTTGACTTACATTTCATACATGCAAACAAGGCTGGCTGGCATATGAGCTAAACCAAGAAGATTGAAATTTGTTCCTTAAGCTGGGCTACACAACCTAAGTGTGCAATCTGTAAAGAAATATTTTCGTTCAAATGGCATTTGACAAACTTTACAACCACATAAGGGACTATCAAGACAAATGCAAAGACAAAGCCAAATATCTTCAAACAAAGGACAGTGTTTCCAACCTGACTGTGAAATCTGACTTGACACCCTTAAAATATTAGCACACTGTCATCTTTACAGAGATTTTTCAATTTCAATTAAAAGCATTCTTCAAATACCTTTTGTTGGTGTCATGTGAAAATCTACTTCAGATGAATCCAACCTGCGATTGCTTGAGCTGTTTCTACACATAAACTCATTACAAAGTGAGGAGAATCAGGACACTGTCTCCGGTCGCCTTTCTCACATTACTGTAAACCCAAATAAGATGACTGAACTCAGACAAGTTAAAGCAAATGATTGCCTTTAATTTTTCAAGTTGATGAACTTGAAAGTCAAGTGTTTATGCTACATGTAGTATTTAATTACCGTTTAATTTAAGTATTTACAAAGTCATAAGCTCTTTTCGAGCCCAACATATAACATTTCTCCCACATTTTGCAGATGGGAGAAATGTGCCTTTTAACATATGCTTTATATATGCTGGGAAAGACCTGAGTCTTAATTTATTGACTAAAACTTAACAAAATAGCATCAGAAAAAGCAAAAGTAAAATAAAATTCAAAAAAGAGGGGGAAAAAAGAATAAGTCATCCCAGTTGGGATGAAAAACTCTGATTTAAAGTCCATGTGATTAAAGTATCTGCCACCTCACCTACCTCCTGAGGCAATGTTATGACAAGTTTAGATTTCCCTCACATCGGAATACTGAATGGATATCCCTAATCATGGAAAGGGGCTAGCAGCTGCATTAACATTTCTAACAAAGTGTCCATACATGCTAAGCTGGGAGTCAGAATGTCATGGAAGTCAACATTAATATACTCAAGTCAATAAAAATTTAACCTCAATGGCAGATATAATATATATATATGTACACATATAAATATATACACATACAAATATATACAGATACACACATATGTGTGTGTCTTTATTTTCTTTCTTTTTCTTTCTTATCCATTTAGTTTTTTACACTAAAACAATGTAATATTACAATTTCACTGCTTTAGGTAGACAAAAGTAATGTTAACTAATTAACTTCCTAATAAAATATTTAAAAAGATGTATTAGTCCTTTGACTGGCATGAAACTTTAATGGTAAGTGATGACTCATGCTTGACAAGCATCAGCACAGCAGTTTAAGGTTCACTTCACAGGTCTTCATTTTAGCACTGAGCAGGGTATCACTCTGTACATTAGTGACTGTGCTAACATGGGGACCGTAATTAACCCAACAGCTCACTTCATTCATGCTACCACAGCATCACTAGTCTAACAGGAAGAACTAAAAAACACAATTATGCAAATGAACTGTAAACATACTTTGCTCCATTATAACAGAACATCTACTCAGGAAAATCTATTATTAAGAGACAAGTGCGGACTAGCAGACAGATAGCAGAAATGGTACAGTAAAATGAAGTTATACTTGGAGTTTACTTAATCTGCTTCATTTACTTAACAACAACAGAAAAAGTGACAAAAACGTAATAATTAAATTCAAAGAATGTTTTGAAAATTTTCACACTACTTAATCTTTTTACTAATTTAAACATTTTGGTTTACAATAGCACACAGCAGGAGAATTTTCACACCAAATGCATTCTCTGAAAATAGTCAATTTGGCTAAGGCAGGGGTGCTTCATGGGGAGACAATTACACTAGACAGCTACTTGCTCTCATGGGATCAATCACGCATTGCATAAACTTTGCAACTGGGAGCCAGAGGAGTAAAGACATCTACACTTTTACATAAAGCTCTGACAGATGATGTACCGCATGTGTGAAAATGACCTTCCTGTCTTTATCAGGCAAGGTAATCTTTCAATGAGTGCTTAAACACGAAAATTATAAAGTAGCTAATTTTGAAGGAAAAGGTGATTCATGAATAGTGAAAAGTTAAAAAGAAAAAAAAGAAGCTCTTACTAATATCTCCTTCCCCATGCCAGTTTGTGCAAGATTGGGTTTCATCCCACTGCCGATCTGCCATATGATCACCTCTGCTGGTTGACTCTTGTAAGGCCATTCACGTGCGTGTAATTCGTACCAGATGGTGCTGAGAAGACAAAGAAGCAAAGTAGATCAGTGTTTTAAACTATCTGGTCATAAGAATAACAGCGTCTTCGAAAAACACCTATGGAGGATTCTTATCCAGGCAAGAGTAAGGACAACTATAAACTGACAAACTTTATTTTTGCAGTTGAATAAGCAGCTGTAGATGATGCATAATTGGATCGTGGTATGTGCAAAAGCATGATTTTGTGGATGACTTTTTGTCAGTTTAAATTTTTGAAAAACAATTAAGCTAAAAAAAAACAGTACATTTTTAATTACTACTCATGGAAAATTAGCATTCACTACCTTCCCTGTGCAAATAAGGTGTTTTCATTCTTCTCCTGCGTGTCGAGTTTGAGTAGAATAAAAATAGCTCTTTGCCAGGAGTAAGGGGGAAAAGATGATGGCTGATTGGTGATGAATATGCAAAAAAGCCACGAGGGTCACCTCTAGGTAACACAAATGCTAACAGAGCAGCTGGACATGGTGCACCAGTGTTGCACTCTTCTTCCCTTTAGAATAATATAGTGATGAGACCTCCATATGGGGAACCATCTGAGAAAGCAATTGTGTTAGGAGTCAACAGAGCAGGGTCCACCCCCTCAAATGAAGCAGTAATGTCACTGGAGAAAGAACAGGAGCCAGGGGGGCTTTTTTAATCAAGTTAGGATGAATTTAAAATTGGGCTTCAGAGGAGGAGCTGGAGGACACCTTGGCTTGAGAAATCAGAGTGACACTCAGACAGGAAATCTGTATGTAATAATGGAAAAAATCAGTGAGATGTTTTCGACCAAAAGGAGCGCATGGAAAAATACATCATGCGTCTGAGCACACCTTCAGTCACACTTCTATTCAGTCCTCCTGCTTAGACGACTCCTTTCGTTTCTCACCATCACTATTGCAATTATTCAACCTGCAATTATTCAATCACTTTTGCACATTTGCAAAGGCAACCCCCTCTTGGTTCGCATTATTTGCTCAAATAAGATTTTAACACACACGGATGCACCAGTCGCTAATCAGTGTGCATTTTATACTTCAATTCGTTTTCCCAGTGTTCTGCTGTCTTTCAGCTGCTATTGCTTATTTGTGCATTACCCTAGCCCATCTTTATCATAAATATAGATCCAATCACTCAGTATTTCAGTCAAATCACGTAGATTAAGTGTTTATTAATCAGGTGAGCAATGCCAAGTGGAGTCTATGCCAAAATCATAATTTTACATAATTAGGTTTTAACACTGTTAATCCCATTTTCAGTAAATGCTTATGAAATGGATGTATAAAGACTGGAAATAGCATAAAAAAATTCATTTATTATATCAGATTACTATATTAAACATGTCTTTGTACACTAGTCTTTGTACAGCAGTAAAAAAGCTCTATCTATAATGAGATCTTAAAAGTGTTAATGAGAGTTGCCTCATGTGGTGCAGAGTATTTATTAAGTTCACACACATATTTGGAGTTTGTAAACCCTCTTTGTCAACAGTCTGCTATAATCCTCCAGGCTCGGATGCCGTCTGGACAAACAAACTAGGGGGCATCTGGCAAGAGGACTCTCACCCAAAAGCAAAGACATCTGACTGCTTGGAGAAAGGAAGCTTGTCCTCTTCTGTTTCTGGAGAGAGCTGCTGGATGATTTCAGGGGCTAGGTGGCACAACCAGCCGTTGGGGATCCTCAGTTTATCTTCTCTGCGGCTGTAGAGAGAGAAAATGTGCAGATGGAGACTTGTCAGGGCTTATTGATCTACTGTATCATGCTGCCAAGCTATTACACTGATTCATTTTCATTATAGAACACTGTAGATACAAAAACCACCAATAAGATGAATCTGTAATGCTTTTCAATTACTGTTTCATATAGCTGAGCGTCATTGTTGCTGTTGCATTACTGGTAAGTTGGTGTAATTGCCATTCTATTTTATAAACATCATCTTTTACTTTTCTGTTTAACTGTTACAGTGGTTTTATCTTTGAAATAAATTGGTGATGTGTAAATGACAGTTTTCAAAGTTTTTGCAAGTCACACTGCAGGAAATTAAGTCTTGATCACAATCTGTGTTAAAGTTTTGAAGCGCATCAGATTGTGGATTTAAAATCCACTGAATTGCAACGCTACAACATAAAAACAAGAAAAGGAGATAAACAAAGACTTATCATTGTCTTACTCTCAATGTACAGTTCTTATGTTTTAACAACACAACCAAAATATGCACAGCTCTTACCTTATTGGCGTCACTTGAATTCGTGAAACTTGTTATGATTAGTGTGTGCGTTACCCATGCTAAGATGGCACACTTATGTTACGCTGATAATGGCAATATATCCAAATGTCAGCAGATGTTGTTAGAATGCTAGTGGGTGAAATTTGATCATTATTCATAGTCACAGTGGTCAAAACTACATAAAGTGCTCTGGCTAGTATTTATCATAATTGTCCAAACAGATCAGCCAGCTGTGAGGGTGACAATTTAATAAAATCACTGCTTCAAAACAAGTGACAGGGAAATAATCTTACTTCTTTTCACCAGTATTTAACTGAGAGCCATGCTAGGCTCAGTGAGACTCTGCTGACCCTGCCGCGCGGTCATGTAGGCTCTCCACAAGCTTGGTTTTCTGTTCTTTGTGTGTTTGGATTAAAAAATGTTAGCTACCGCTCACCGCTCGTCTGCAGGCTTTATTTAAATGGAAAACTTCCACAACACCATGAAGATCTTTCATCACAAAAAAGCTCTAATTACCTTCTATAAAACAAGATTAGAGGTATTTGGGGGGTTTTGTTAACTTTGGGAATGACCAGCTTTCTCCAGTTTATGCCAAACTAAGCAGCTACAGATCATAGCTTCATATTTATAATGCAGATGTCATAATGACATCATTTTGCTTCAATTGAGATGCCAAATAAGCTTATTTTTTCAAACAGAAAATGCTGATGTCGTTGCTGTTAATATATTGGCATTTGGTCTGCTTTTAAAAACACTAAATGTAACCACAGATTAAAAATGACTTATCCCTTTCAACGAGTGCAATTACTACAAGTGCAAGTACATCGTCGAAGTTTTGAACACCATATCTGTTTTAATGATAATATCTCGCAGTAAGCTTCCAGTGTTTATGCTATACAAAACTCATTAACACTTGGCTCTAGTGTCATGATGAATTGCAGATTTGAGAGAGATGAACATGCAAAAATCAATATGAATAAAATGCTTTCGTACACTCAGGTGTACGAGGTGGACTGGGAAGTTTTGCATAAACTTCTCCATAAACTCTGCTGTGATCTTATTCATAGCCTTTTCCTTTTTTTTTTTGCTTTAGGTCACGAGCAGTTGTCTAAGCATTTCACTGCATATCGTACTCTGTATGACTGTGTACGTGACAAATAAAATTCTTCTGGACAGAGATCTCAGATGTCATTCCTGATACCTGTGTGAGCCACTTGCCCAGTTTGGAGGCCACTGCTTTGGGTGTTCTGAGTACCACGAATACCACTGTTGATTTTACCCTCCTCATTTCCTCTAGCTCCTCTCTGTTTTATTTCTCAAGCTGCTTGTTGATTTTATGTTCCTTCTTCCTGGTACAGTAATCATTTGGTATAGCAATATCTATCTACCATGTCCAGTTCGTTAGTATCACCTGTTTGTCCGTCTGTATCTGGAAGTCCCACAAGATTTTAGCTCAGACATTCTTAACTACCCTAGGGGGCATATCACATTTTGATTTAGGAACTTGTCACAGATGTTCTTGTATAATATTCCAGCCTGGTGGTCTTGCCTGGTGTGGTAGACCCCAGCCTTTATTGATCTAGTGCTTAGAGCTTGTTCCTGCACTGCAATAATTATTTTTCTCAATTTTCTGCTGGGTGAGGTATTCACTAGGCACATAATCAGGTGTGGCCATCTTCCTGATTAACTCATAGATATATGTTGTTTCATCATGGATAGTGGCCCTAAGACTTTCTCTAGTCCTTGGCCTTCTTCTTTCTGCTTAGCCTTAGTCTCAGAGTTGAGGGGTGACAGCTTCCTTGGAGTTTTCTTGTCTTGATGTCAGTGGCTTCTATCTGCTGCTTTGGCTAGCAGGGTATCTGATCACTGGCACTGCTGATTGCCCAAATCTTGTTCTTCCCATTCAGCTAACTCCTTAGGACTTGCCTTACTCATGGGAGATATTTGGTAATTGCGGCTTTCCTAGCAGGCTCTTCATGACTCCCATTTGCTTGTGGGATTCCCAGGTACTTGTAGCTGTCTTCAGTGTCTGCAATGTTCCCTTCTGGTAGTGCAATCGCCTCCATTCTGATTGCATTTCCTCTTTTTGTTACCATCCAACTACACTTCTCCAGTTCAACTGTAGATAAAGTATTGCAATTTCAGGAGCAGGAGCACGCCTCCAAACATGCTCCTTCCAGTTCTCATCTATATAGGCTCCCTCAGTTCTACAAGCTGTTCATTCTCGTTTACGTGCCTCACCCTCCCTCCCCTTTTCAATCCTTTAACTTCTTCACTTCTATTTAGTACATGGGGATCTGCCAGGCCCTGGAGCCGCCGTCAGTCCACTTCAAGGCCTTCCCCAAACTGCAGCTCAATTCATGCCCAAGCCATTCAACTCTACCCACTCAAACGTTATCAAACCTAAAATGAGGACATGGGTCCAGCTAGTGAAATGGCAGCCCGAATTCTGTAGATCCTAGTCGTGTGCATCGGTGGTATAGAGCTTGATGTCATTGATATAGAGGAGAAGGCTGACATTTGCTCTATGCTGTAGTCAGTATCCTAGTTAATGATTTATCTGAGGTTATTTAAATCTATGCAGAACAACAATGGTGACAAAATATAAACACACTTATGCAACTAGCTTAAGGTTTACCTCCAGTGTTTTTCACCACATCCCCCACTGAATTCCTGTTGAAGGCTCTTAGGGTCCTGTTGATCAGTTCTAAGCATTCCAGGATCCATGTGTGAGACACTGAGTCATAGGCATTCTTGTAGTCAATCTAGGCAGTCCACAGGTTGGTCAGTCTGGTCTTACAGTCTCAGATGACTGATCTGCTACCAGTAGTTGGTGCTATGCTGATTCCTTTCCAGGCCAAACTGAGAAACTGAGCCATGTGCTTGTTCATCTCAGCCACTATGATGCCTGAAAAGGCACTAATGCAGATTATCGGCTAGTAGTTGGATGGAACTAGGCCCTTCTGGGGATCTTTGACTATCAGGACTGGTTTTCAGTTAGCCATTCCAGGTGGGTCTCATCCAATAGCAGCGGCCAGATGTTCATGGACCACAGTTAGTTTCTTTAGTCAGTAGGTGTGAATCATATCAGGTCCCAGTACTATCCAGCTTCACACTTGAAGTTGTTTCTTTTATATCTGCCACTCTCATGGTTACTGGGTCCTGTTCAAGGAAGTTGCTGTGACCTTCTCTTAGATTTGCAAGCCACTGAGCATTGTTGTGTTGCAATATTCTCCCATATGCTCTTCCAGTATTGCTCTGTGTTCAGCCTTGGTGGGGTTGCTCTCCTATTGTCCTCCACCTTTGAGAGTACATCTTGGATGGTTCAATGGAAAACAGCTAGTTTATTCTTCCGGCTTCTATCCCTCTGGTATAACTGAAGATGTGCAGAGGTCAGTCTTTGGTTGGGCTTTTCTAAGGCCTAGGGTATGAGCAGGTTGTTGCACTTTCTTCATCACACTTTTACTATAGTTTTAATAATTTTGCTAACTTTCCTTTACTACCTTGAGCTTATAGCAAAGCATCTAAAGGATCACTGTTGGGCTCTGTACCTAATTTTGGAGGGTGGTAATGATGATATCTCCCCCTGGATCTGATGTCCTGGCTCACCATTGCTGTAGTATAGTATGTGTAGTAGTATGTGTTGTACCTTGTCAATCTCTAGTTACAATGCAATTGTTTCTTACAGATGTTAAAACACTGAGCTACTAGTTGTTTCGATGTTAGTCTAGATGTTGGGTGTCATACATATATATTTTTTCATTGGCATGGGAAATAATTTTGAGCATTTTAACCATTGCTGATGATTCACAGAACAAATAGTTCTGCTGTACTGTTTGTAAGGGCAAATTTATCCAGCCATTATTGAATTTATTTGCTCCTCCTTGACCTGGTTACTCATGTTTTCTTTATATCTTGGACATTTCTGTTTAACACTGTTTGAGTTCTTGAGGGGACAAGTGTGAAGCTTTTATGGGAACTGTAATTACTTCCAGAAAAAAAAAACAGTTTTCAATTATTTGCGCATGAATGTAATCTTAATGGCAACCGTTATGTAAATTAGACATGTTGGAACAGAGGTTTTCAAAAACAGAAAAGGAAGCATCACCATTCATTATAATTGAACAGTGTTAAAAAATGTATGCAGTAATAATAAAAAAGTAGGGTTTAAATACATAACAAGATGACATTTTCATCACACAAATGTGCAGCGTATCCACTGCATGGACCAAAGGTTTTGTTGTCTCTGCACTACACGTGTCAGAACTTTCAGTTTCTCTCCAAGACTAATTCATGTATTGCAAATGCTAACGAAAGCATTCCTGTCCCATAAGTGTATTGAACATAATTACCTGCCAGCCTGCAGAACTCCAGATATGGTGAAGAGCCCAAAGTCAGTGATGACGACTTTGCCATTGTCATAAAACACATTCTTGGACTTCATGTCTTTGTGTAAGATCCCCTTTGCGTGGAGGTAGCCCATCCCCTGAGGACAGAGAGAGGGAGGGAGGGTGGGACACCTTGTAATACGTGGCATTCTGCTGAAGTGTTTTGGAGAAATCAGTGCCGAGTTATTTTACCTTGACCATCTCTTGCGCAATCTGTCGTGTCTTGTTAACATCCAGGACAACTTTGGCATCTCGCACTACAGAATAAAGTGTCCTGCCTTTACAAAAGCTGGAAAAGACAGTAAAATTCAGGGTTTACATCAATGCCAATAGGTAATACAAATTTGATAAAATCACTACATTATTTAGATGTTACAAGTCAATCTTAAAAAATTCCTTTTGAAACTTTTAAATGAGTATTTTCAGCTTAGTTTGTCACTGGTTTCCTGTCATTCCAGTATGTCTCAATCATGCTTTGTACATCAACGTTGCAAAGAGAAGTGATTCATTAAGCTTGTAGAAAGCAACTGATAAGTGCAGGGCTAAAACCTCATATACAAAGAAGTTAAAATAAAGGACTCCTGTACTGCTCTCCTAAGAATAAAAGAAAAAAATTCATACAAGATAAGTGAATATGGTAAATGGACTGATACTTATATATTGCTTCTAACAGAGAATTCAAAATTGTTTTGAAATCATATTTTAAATGAAATGGAGCAAAGAAGCAGAAGAAGCAGGGAACTCGAGCTGCACTATTTTACACACATATCGTGCCTTTCTGTCCTCATTTCATATACCAAACATGGCCTCCCATTTTGGTGGTCTAGTTAAGCTACAAAAAATCTCCAATGTGTCCCTCTTACATGTCAGTGTCCACTACCCAGCATTGCAGCCTACTATTTAAACCCCTCCACTGCCCCAGTATCCACCTGTAAACTCAGGGGAATAGTTAATTATAAACCCCCAATTTTACTTACATATTGATGAGTGGTGAGCTGGGTGCCTAGACTGTGAACACACACTATGCTGTGCTGCTGTAATTAATCATCAAAGTATCAACAAGCGCCTGACATGTTTATAGTCTGAACAATGTGATGTAAACTTAACTGCAGGCTTGAATGAGTCTCTTTGTCATCCCTAATAAAAACAAATACATAAGAAATGAGACTAATACTGAAACAGTCCACAAAATGGTTAACTGTTAGAGTGTTCAATTTTCACCTCTCTCCACTTCATCTAATCCTCATCTTTTAAATGTTCAGTGTTACATAAACAGAAAAAATATTTGTCTAGAAGTTCACGAGTGTGCATTACTGGAGTTTGAGACACTGTTAGAGGATAAAATGCCATCCTATGAACTAAAAGCGAAGTTCACTGTAAGCCAGAATGGAGCTAGACTGTATTTCAGCTAGACAATGTGATATTTCTGGAGGGGTGCCATCAAAATGGCATTTTAATAGGCAGCTCAACAAACACCCCCTGCCTCACACTTGAAGCCCTCAACCCCGACTGTGCCATGCAGGTGACCAACAAAGGACCCGAAGCTAACAGCTCATACATATTCATTCCTGAAACAATCTCATGACAGCCTCATTTTTTATATTTAAAACCTCTCTTTACACGTCTTTTATTAAACACAGAAATCTAACTAACAAATGCTGGCTGGTTAAATCTAAAGCCAGTTGAAATTTTTATGCAGACATTATGTTTTATGACAGTTACTTTTATACCTACGGCAAATATGATATGGATAATCTAGTCTAAGAAGAAAGGGTGTATTTAATGGAAGACAAGATGATGGAGAACTAATGAGTCCACCTTAACATTCTGAAAATCACCTTTGTGCTTCAAAATGAATTATGCAATTTACATGAATAAAATCCAGCAGTAATATCACTGTATCCTCTATGCCCAACAAAATCAACCAACATAAAGGAAAAAGTTAAAGGAAAACGTTTCAATCAATATTTATGTTCCTATTAATGCAGCCTGAAATCTTTAATAAACCAGTGTGCTTCGTTTTGCACTTTGGTCTACATGATTAATATGAAGACTATTTTGTAGTAACTTTTTTTATCCTTGTGGTGTGAGAAGCAGAGTATTAGTGGATAACAAAGCCACCTGTTGCACTGACATTCGCTATTATTTTCAGCAATCACCAGTGAGGATTTCTGAGAAGCAGCCAGCTCACCTGTTAGCTCCCCTGTGCATACAGCAATTTCAACTGGCATCAGATGCAATATCTCAGAAATCATACAACTGGTCATTTAAAACAGTAAATATGATGGAAGGGATTAGTGCATTTGTGCTAAAGCATATTTAAAGTTGTACATTTAGTAAGAGATGGACAGTCCCTTCAAAACAAATATATGCAGAGACAATGTATAAAAATTGCAAGACTTCCTTGTTGTTCACAGCCTATGTAGATGACAATAGGACGGGCAATAATTTCTTTCTGAACGTCATTAGCTCTGCTAATTAATTAAATGAGAGTACTTCTCGTGGCAAAATACTTACAGTACTTAAATCTGCCTAAAAGTAAACACTAATACATGAAATAATTAAAGAGAGAGAAATCTTCACGTCCACTCTAACCTCATATTATCTGCTGTTGCACTGTAGTGAAGACAAATGCACTATTGCTATGGTGAGTGGTTGGTTCATCTATTCAGCAACAGCAGCAGCCTGCTCTAATCATAACCTCTCCACATCCCATTGTCAGACACTCTAAACTCATATTTCTAAAGAAGGGAAGGTCTGTGGCTGATCTAGAATGAATGCTAGGTGACCAGGACTGACTGTCAAAGCCATAAAATGGTCATTCTCTCAAGTTCAGAAGCAGACCAAACTACACATTTTAGAGCTGTGAAAATGATGAACGGATGGATGGATGGACGGACGGACAGACAGACAGTTACCCTGGTTAGAGTTGTATAATTTTTTTTCCTACAGATAACCCATATGAACATTTCTGCATTTTATCTGCGATGATCCATTTATGGAGTCTCATTATATTGCTTTTTATAATTGCACTGTACTTTCATTTGTTTTATGGTCAGCATTCTTTTCATTGCCATCTGTATATTATTTTTGCAGCCTGCTCAAACATGAAAGCTCAAATGAACCATTGTGTACTATAACATATTCTAATATAGGGCTATTGATGGACACCATTATGACTGCAATTATAAAGAACAATAGAGGTCGTTTTAAAAAGTTCTTCAAACTCAACTTGTATTATTTTAAAGTGGCACTTTAACTAACCTTTTAGGCCATGCAAATATTGTAGTTTCCTTATTATTCAATATTATTTCTGGACATTAAACTATAAGACATGACATGTTTACAAGTTAATTCTTTAAGGTACTCAGATTACTTTCTCGTTAATTCTGAAATTCAAGTCATTTTTTATTTAGTTTCTAAATTAAGTAATCTGTTGCTGGTAAACTGTTTGCTTGTATCCCTTTTTCTTTGCTGCCACGTAACAAAACAAAATATAAAATCCTCAGTGCATTTGTTCATGTTTCTCTCCTAGTCCTTAACAGGTAGCTACATTCAAGTGTTCATTAGCTGCTTTTTGTAGTGAAGCTCAGCTTGTGAGCCGGTAGAGAGGACAATCACACAATATAGCAAACAGTACTTAAGTGTGATCAATGTCTGTCAGAGGTGTAGAGCTTTATCAAGAACACCTTAATTCAAACTTAGATCTTTATCCTTACCTGGTAATGATGGCCAGATGTGGTGGGCTCATGCAGGCCCCCATAAAGAGCACCACATTTTCATGGCGAGTGTTTCGGTAGGCCATCACCTCACGTTTGAAGGCCTTCAGCTGGTCTTCGTTATCACGCTCAATGTCAATTAAGCGAATGGCGACCTCGCCATGCCATCGTCCATGGAAAACCTTTCCAAAGCGACCCTTACCAATCATCTCCCCAATCTCTAGTTGCTCAAAGGGGATGTCCCATTCCTGCAGGAAGATACTGGTCTGACTGGCCTTACGTGGGAAGTTTCGAGCCGACAGGAGCGACAAGTTCATCTCCTCAAACTCATCACCAGAGTCCTCATCATTGCCTTCCTCATTCTGTGATAAAGCAAAATTGAACTGTGGGTAGCTTGAATTTCCTACACATGTATGGAATCAAAATGCCATTATACACAAAAAGATAGTGTTAAATCATTCCAGCAAGATAGCAGATGGATGTTTTATTATTTTTTTTATACAAATGCCATTTAAGAGAAGCATAATTATCGGCAAAAAGCTTCTCCAACCCACCAAGCTTTAGATGTAGCAAAAGCTCTGTATTCCCAGGATGAACAGTTTTTATCAGATGGTAATGTCAATTTTTCATTTTATACGTACATACATACATAAATAAATCATCTTTCCTTGTAACAATATATATTTTACAATGAGTATAGCATATGATGTGATATATTTTAGCTTATAAGTAAATGTATTGAGTACTATTTTACTTATAAACAGGATTGTATATGAAAAAAAACAAACACATACTGTATGTCTGTGTTGCCTCTATATATAATGATTTTTCTGTGGCTGTTTGCACTTGAAATACTGACTGTTTAGACTGTTACCAATAAAAAATAGACTGATAAAAAAAAGGGAAAATAACCACAGGGAAAAGTGGTTGATTTACTCTGATTTGATTTTAAATATAATGCACCGCAAGAGAGAAAATGACCTACTCCAAGGCGCCTGCTGGAATATCATTCAACGCAATCTGCATCACATTTTCTCAAATTATATCATTGTTATAGAAATAGCAATGACGAGGAGCGAAGATGTCTTTTCCTTCTTGTTGCTTTTGACGCATAACTTACCTAAAGGCTCCTCACAGAGCTGAGACAAATTATGCTAAATGAGAGAACAACGCAAATGACTGTGACAAGTGTTGGTGAGAGTGGTATTTAGTCTTCATTCGCATTCACCAGCAATTACACACTGATATTACTGGCATAATTGTCAGTACTATCAGCAATGCAAGGACTGAACAAAGCTAGATCCGCACACGCTGAAAGCACAACAAAGGTCATACTCACGTCTGATGTAGGTTCAACTTCGATTTGAAGCAAAGGGTTGCCCTCATTGCTAAAATAAAAAGGAGGAAGAGAAGAAATATATTCATAAGGAAAAATATCTTTGCAGGTTTTAAATTCTTTATTGAGTGTATACGTTGATTGTGGAGTATGAGTATTAGTATAAGCATGTTCTAAAGCCATCTATATGTATGTGCATCTGAAACCAAAGTATTTCCATGTAAAACGCTTTGAGATTCAGTGCTATATAAATAAAACTGAACTGAACTGAGTTAGTATTGCTGTAATATTTGTATGTTTCAAATAGTTATTATATTAAATAGTTTTCATGTGTGCTGAGAGCAGAGATGGTTTTGCGGTAGATATCAGTAATGTAGCCTCTACACAGAGATGTGGTACTCACACGTATGATCAGACAGGCTGATTTTTATCTGGACGACTATTGTGTGTGCACTGATGTGTGTCATTCCATATGATGTGTCACCACTACAACCTCTAAATCATTTCACAAACAGATAATGAATATGTCTGAATACCATCTGTGGATGGCAATATACTAACGCCTGTGTCATATTAAGTCATGACAAATGTTTAGGTTCTCACAATAGTTTCCAACTATTGAGGAAGCAGAAAAGTAAACACAAAAAAGAATCAAAGATCACTACAAAAACTACAACAAGAACTGCTGTTGCAGTTTTTTGTCTTTATACCCAGATGAACTGATTGCACCTGCACCTGATATATTCTAATTGGCAATAGATAACTTCTCTTGACACCCTTTCCCCTGTGTGTCTGTCACAAAGAGTGAATTGCGCTCTGTTTTACAACACCTGGTTGTCTCTGACTAAAAAGTAGGAATTTTCTTTGTTTTGTTTTTTGCTTTTTGTTTTTAAAGTTGCTATTAAAGTAGAAATGACTGAATGTCATTTGTGATGCCTTTTGGGTGCTGGAGCCCTCTCCATCGATTAAAATGCTTGTCCAGGGTTCACTGCTGTTTTGTTTTGTTTGTACTTCTTTGTACCACTTTCACAACATTTTTTTTCTTTTACAAAATGTGTTACTTTGCTGTCAGTCGATTCAACTTCCTACAGAATAACAGCAATAGATCAGTCTCGTGTTCCTGAGAGATTTTGTAGAGGCAAATGTGCATATCAGAACCAGTGATTTTGGCCAGTGTTAAACCGATCTCGGTACTTAGCATGAGAATGGCACATGAATATTTTTAAAAAGGTCTGAACCCAGAATCATTAAGCACCAATGAAGCTCTGAAGGTCTGAAATATTTGGTTTTAGTGATACTTTTTGTGCACTTTTAAACAATGCAATAAATATCTGCAGGCAGCTCTGAGACCTGCAATTTAAAAGCTGCATGCCACCTTATTTTCTGAGCCGGTAACCTTTCTATTGTGCTTTTACCTAGACACCAAAGAAGAGACATGCTGTAGATTCAGAATCCCATTATAACACATAAGGTCTTTTATAGAGGCCATTTCAATGACTATGAGATGAGCTGGTCTTTGTGAATAGATATTTTGTTATTAGATTTGTCTTATTTTAAACATTAAAAACCAATATTTCTTTTCTGATATTTCTAAATACTAGATACAGATCTTTTTTTTTTTTCACCTCTCGCAACTAGTCTATCTCCAGTGTTTACTTTATTATTAATCGTGTTTCCTTTTGTCAGTGTGTTTTTCAGGAGTTGCATTTATTTTCATTCATGCACAATTTTTCTTAGCAATGTGTCTTTTTTTTTTTTTTTTACCTAAAAAAGCTATTATTTTTTTTGCACACATTACAATAAAAAGAATTACTGAACCACAGGCTTTTATGCTGTGAATCATCTGCAATGTCTCAGGTGGCAAAAAGACAATGATACTGTGACCATTTAATAGATAAATAACTACAATGTGAACAGGGGGAAATGTAAGAGAGAGGTCTTCTCATTAGTGGCAGCCTTTTTCTGACCCTAATTTTTATTTTCACATTCATTTTACGAGTTTTTAAGTGCATTTGCACCCTGTGCCCTTATTAATTTCTGACCCAGGCGTGTCCATTGTCACCTACAGCCACTCACATGACATAAATGAACCCGTTTCCCTTATTCCACTCAACCCCCACTGTCCACATAATCGTCTGTGTAACATCAGTGTATAACTCCCCACATTCTATGGTATATTAACACTTGTTCACAGAGCAACCCTTGACTGAAAAGACCATAGGTGAGGCAGCATATAAAATAATGTGATTCCTGTGGCGCCAAGGGCTGCTACCACCGGTTCGATCTCTGCTCTAATGAGGGAATCCTGCAGGGCGTTCGGGTCTAAAACAGGCCCTCATTAACCCTGAGATGAAGCTATTAAGGGCAAAGAAATCTGCCAGCTGCCACTGTAAGAGCATACAAAGAAGGGACAGGAGGGGCGATAGCATTAATTAAATCAGAAGAATGTGGGTTTTTTAACCACGCTTATGCATTCCCATTTGTCAAAAAGGCAGGGAACGATGAACGGGAGTGAGAAAGGGGAAAAATGGAGAAAAGGTTGCCAAAGATATGGGTTTTTAAATGAGTTTTCTCTTGCTCTTTTCTCAAGAGATTCATGATTTCTAAATATTTAGCTGTATGTGAATGCCCAAATCAAGAATAAATACAGATATATTATATGTTAAGAATCTAAGGTAAATTATGATGCATTTATTGACTGAAACTAATGGAGAATTTTTTGGGGGGGCATTCAGGTCAGAGTGTGCAGCCTTATGAGTCAGCTAGCATTTCTCAGTAGTAGTTGTACATTTTGTTTTCTTAATTTACTGTGGTTCATGCCTTTTCATAACTTCCTACAAGCTGGCTCTGGTAGAATTTGTTCCCAAGTTATGAACATATTTCTATGAAAAGCAAAAATAAAATACAATGTCTCAAACCTTGAATGGTTAATATTGGGGGAACAGGTAATGACTCTTATCTATTTCCCCAAGAGAGAGTACAAGGGGCTTTTCTTTGTCATTTAATTAGTGTTTTATATACAGTCTCCTGCTGCTCTGATTTCAATAAATGTTAAAACCCCGTTTTTCTTGTTGACAAACTAATATCAAGTCTTTTAGTTCTTAGCTGTCACAGTCACATGGGTGTTGTTAATTGTTAAAAGCCTAATAACAAAATAGTTGGCTTTTCATTGTGGGCTGTACACACTTTCCTTTCCTGTATACCCTTTTGGCTGTGAATAAATTCAGTCTATTAGTCTCAATAAAAATGAATATTTTGTCCTCAGTGAGATGACAAAATTTGCCAGCTGCAACTCATTCACAATCAGCCCCGGAGTGTACACAGAGACCAGTATAACAACAAAACAAAACTCATATGCATGCATTTGGAGCACCTTGTGAAAAACTGACAGTGAAGCTTTACAGCTCAACGCCTGAATGTGGTTTCAAGATACAGAAAACAATATTTCGCATCACATTATAATGATTATGGTAATGAATGTAATGCTAAATGCTAAACTATCCCAAACATGGAGTCTATTGTTATGTATGTATGCCATTATTTTTGTATGATTCCTATTATTTCCAGACTTTGCCTTCCTGTTTTTTAATCTCAAATCTGGCAGCTGCTATATAAATGAGGCATGATGACATCAAAGACAGCTTGTACATGTACAGCCCCGTACCTCAGTGTAAAAGTCATACTTTCGATTTTTTCCCAGTCTTACTACCATGTTGATTTTTTTTTAAATATAATTATTTGTTCTTGATGAATCTACTCCAGTCTTTCAGCATGACCTGTATTTCATCACAACTGATCATCTTCCTATAGATTCTTGCCCCGTTTCATGCGATATATTGAGATCTGATTTAATTAACATCTGGGTCGAGAGGCATCTCATCACTAATCCTTCTCTTCCGGTTGTCTTCCTATGACCACTGGCTTCCTCAAAGAGCTAGTGAAAATCCACTTGGCATCCCAAGTGTAGCGTGAACTAAAGGCCATGCTAACATTAGTCTCTGAGTAATCATCATGTCGTCCCTCGCATTGAAATTGCCACCCAAATATCTGTGCTCCAATAAGTTCAACTTGGCCTCTGACCAACTACCCCAGAGAGAAAGGGGGAAGAGGGGAGGAGGAGAAGGAGAGAAAGCATGCAGATGAGGAAAAGGCTGACTGACAGAGAGAAAAGATGATCGGTAGTACTTTCTTTCTTTAAATGTATTCATGCGGTTCTACTGAACTATTTCTGTCATTGATTTTACTTACCCTGGTTCAGAAAGAACGGGATGCAGAATGACCTGCGGAGCTCGGCTGGGAGGAGCCTCGGGAGCAACATCTGGAAGCATTCGAGTTACAACACATCAAATTAATGAATTGAAACAAAACTGCATTCATTAAAAGTCATTAATAACATTGGTGGTGCTGCTTATCATGTAATAGAAAAGCTAGGGAACACCAGCTACAACAGAGCCACAGTGGTGACCGAAATACCAGCTGTGTCAAAACTGTGATACTATTAAACAAGGCAAGAGTTTTTCTTTCCCAGTAAAATGCAGCAGTAGCAATGCTATCATCATTGTAAGCCTTCTGTTTTCAGCTATCATTGCTAACTATCATAATGGAAGAAGGAATACTATTATTCCAACTGTTGTTGTGATTTGGCGCTATATAAATAAAACTGAATTGAACTGAATTATGGTGTAATATCCTACTTAATGACACAAGGTAACTCTTCCTACTATACTTTGGAAAAAATAATTAAAGCATGATGTCATCTACCATAGGGCTAATCCTGTGGCATTGCTATGAATAGGTGAAATCTGATGCCAAATTATAAATTAACTCCCATTAACCTCTCCCATTAAACAGGATTTGAAGACTTCCAGGGTGCCTGTGAGTACATGGAAATTTTCAAACACACTTGGCATCTACAATACTTATTCACACAATGAAATTATGACCTTCATTATGTCAACAAAGAGACAGACTGCCATTCTGTTTAAAGAGCACCTAAAAAAACTATGACTTTATAGATTCTAAATGTTTACACAGAATTTTTTCTTTGTGTGTAAAAGCTGTCTATAATGATATGCAGTGAATTGTGACACAAATTATGAAAGGCAACACGAATTCTGAAACTCTCACATAAATACATTCTCCTTTTACATGCTCGCACTGTCATTTTTATATCATTTTCTTTTTAATTCTCACATTCACCCCTTTTACTTATATATTTCAATGCACATATTCATACATTTTTATTCTGACATTTTTATATTTTTCCTCATATGTAGTTCTCATGCACATTAATTTAATATGCATTTAATTCTATAAAGGATATGTGGACGTAAGAAGAAAAAGTGTAATTTATTTGTGTCTAACAAAAGAATACACTAGATGCTTAAAAGCACTGGACCACCTACATATGACATCGACAGGAATTGTCTAGTCATGCAAATGCATATTTAGTCAGCAGAGCTTGACGAGATTGGAATGTAACTTTACGTGATCTATCACTTCTTGGCTAGGTTCCTATAGTTCCTAAATGCTTTGCAATAATACCACTTATAGTTCCAAATGGAAGAAATTTCATGAACTGACTTCTTGCTCAAATTCAACACAATCTTTAGAATCTTTATTAGACCCATTCTTCTGTTTGCAAAGGCAGATTGTATGACTAGGTGTTCGGTTTTATACACCTGTGGAAACTGGGGACTCCAAACACAAGAAACAAGGAATACAGTGGAAATGGCATGCAGGTCATCCAATAAGAATTTACAGATTAAAAGATGAGCTGAGTATAGATCGGTTATCACGTTGAGTTATTTTTTTACTCTAGGTGATTGGTTGCTACATTGGCCTAAGCAAAGCTGACTTATTTTATTTTAGGTTCTTCATATATAAGATGTATTTTTTTGCAGGCATATGTTTGTCCTCCTACAATAAGAAAAAAAACTATGTGATCAGCTAATGAAAATTACATGTTCTCTAACTATGGCTAAATAAGCAATACTGTGATAAACAAAACAGCAGTAAAGACATTTTTTAACATTTACACTTACATTTTATTATATCCAGGCTACTGACTATAAGGACAACACAGGTTCAGTGGGGCATGTGCAGAAGATTGACACTCATATCCATCTTCAGACAGTTTCACCAGTTCAACAGCTGCCTTCCTACCAGACTGTACTCCAGATTGTGGTTACTCCTCATCACTTGAGTGTGAGAGTTATTCATTCAAACTTCTGCCTTGAACCATCAAAGCTGTATCTCACCCAAATACAGCAGCACTTACAAAGCAGGTTCCTTTAGCCAGCAGCTAGTATGCTCATTGGAAATCAGCCCTTCTAGTTTCCAGCCTTCGATGTCATCATTTGGATGTACAACTTCAGTAGTTTTAACTCTGGCACTCACATCTCAAACTAGCTCAAGTTCACACTGCCAGACTCCATTAAATAAAATTGCTTTGACAGTTTGATTTTTAAAATCAAGGATAATTTTTTAAGATGCATTATTAAATTTCATTGCAGTATTTTTCATCATAAAAAAGCTTCCCACCATAAATTTGTAGGAAATTTGCATGTATTTATTGTTAACATATGACTACAGGAATAAAATTATTTTTCCCCACATTAATGGTGTAGATTTAATTGCAATGTTTGATTTGTCATCATTATGCTGTAATGTTTAGCAGTCAAATATGACTATTTTACTGCTGCAAAAGCCTTTAGGCAGATACTTCATGATACTGAAAACCATAATCAAAGGCATTAGAATATTTTTGGAGGAAGCAGTATACTTACGATAAACACAAATAGAGCAACAAAAAATACATTTGTGTATAAAATAAAATGAAGCCATAAATGGCTTACAGAATTAAAAAGATAAATCCCCAAACATATATTCCTATCACAACTTTAAAGTACCGTGAAATTGATGACAATCTTTGAAAAATGAAAAATCAAGCTGCATCTAAGATCTGGATCTTTGTCTGGTTTTCAGAAGTCACTAGAAAATGAATTCATCTAAGCATAGGGCCCTAATGTATTGATAGCGTCTGTATTTCTTGAACCATGAGATTCTCTGGGAATATGTAGCACCTATCTGCTCAATACATTTTAATACATGAATGTAATTTCAGTTGCTACTTAATTCTTGTCAGAGACCTGTATTCGTTAAATTGAATGTGTGTATCTGAGAACAAAGAATGTATAAGCATGGGAGTCCAAAGACTCATACGTAAAAGGTAAAACTATGTATGTATTGAAATGAGAAATATATATATATATATATATATGTATGTAATTATGAGTCAAAATATATGCATGTGAAAGGAGATTGAAAGTAGCTACAAGCAGAATCTACACATGCAATATGTAAACGGAGAATGTGTGTATGTAAGTGTGACAATTTATAAATATGAAAGGGAAATGGAAATATGTGCGAGTGAAGATTTATGCATGTGAAAAGAGAATATCTTGATGTGAGAGCATCAGAATGGCTTATATGGGCTCTTGTATCAAAGTGGCTATATCTAAAGTTATATCCAGCATTTATTTTTCAACTCATCTGCTGTTTTCACTTAAATGCTTCGAAGATAGCTCTACAACCAAACTTTCTAACATTCTAATAGTGGTGATAACACCATATTCTGCTGTATGAAGCACATAGAAAATAGTTTGCATAACGTGTTATACTGGTGGAGATGTGAACAGGTTGGATTCTCCCAACTATTTTTTGCAAGCATTGATCTTCAACATGCAAGACAGAGTAAGGTCAGCTGTGCTGTTGTATCCACCTCTGAAAGACATCAGAGGATTCACTGCTAGACTTGTTGTCTGTATTGGCACACTTTGACATTTTTTTTTAATGCAAAAACACAAAGAGTGAGCCACAGAAACTGTTCTCTTTGTAGCATGGTGCATTATAAGCTGGCACCATCTCCTCACAGCGAGGGACATGTTTTTATTTTCTGTGTGGAGTCTGCACTGATGTTGTTGTGGATTTGCTCCAAAGACCTGCAAGCCAACAGGGCTGAAAGCTCTAAACTGTCCAGTGTTGGGAATCGGAGGCCCTCATATAATGATATCGGTGATCCATTTGATATAATGTCAAATTTTGTGTATCCCATGCCAGCAGAATCTCTGCAGATATATACTCAACCCCACCAAAGTGAACACTTGTATGAAGACCACATATTACTACATTTTTGTAGTCTTTTCAGAATAAGAGAGAGCAGTAAATTTGAGATGACTAAGACATTACATCCATGTATAGATTTTTTTGATTGATGGTGAACAGTAAGAAGTAGATGTGTTGTTACATAGTTTATAAAGGTAGCTGAAGTAAAGAGCATGTGTGGCAACAATAATCAGAACATGCTGCAGCTTGCTGAGCACTATAATTATGCATTTCCAAAAATCTGTCTCTTCAGATTTCACTCTTTACCTAACACCACTCCAGCTTGTCTCAGCTATAATAACCTGCCAAATGAGCAAAGACTGTATGGTACCAGTGTGGGCAAGAGCAAAGCGTCTGGATATTGACAAATCATTAGGAAGCCCAAATGAGACAGCATGAGTGGGTGTAGAGATTTTTCAAGCAGGCCAAGGTGAGGGGATGAAAACCACCAACAACATCAAAAGGGCCCTCCTTACTCATCCTTGGCTAGATGCAATGCATTATAGGAAGGGGAAATAATCAATTTTGAGGTACTTACCGGGGAATATGAACTGTTGCTTGTATTTGAAATAACTGGAGGCTGTGGAAGGCAACAAGAAGAGCTAGAGTTTGATAAAAGTTGGGTAGACTGTCCAAGTTCACATGGCAATTTGTTAGTTTAGTATTCAAAGTCAAATTAGTTTGAACCAATCTATGTTGCAATATCTATTTATTTGAGTTCATAATTTCAACTCAAGGTTTGGTTCTCAATCCCTTCTTTGGCATTTTATTTACTTTTAGCAAAGGAAAATGCTTCTATGAGAAAAAGAAATTATCTCACAGTTGCAATTACTTAATTTTGCTTCAGCTCTGACATTCACTTCAGTCATTAGCATAATTCTTGCATTGCCAAATGCTAAGCTAAAACAGCCAACATACCTTCTTTTAGCATTGTTATTGTGGGCATGCACCAAATGCACCAAACTTTTAGAGGGGAATAGGAATTATATGTGTATTAAATAAAATACCTGTTAAGTTGAACTGTTTCTGTTGCCTTGCTGACTGTGGGGAGGGGTGCAGAGGGGAGGGTGGCGTGGCACTGCTGGGCAATGGAGGAGCTGGGGAGGAAGGAGTGGAGGAGGTGGTGGATGAGGGGTTACTGCTGGAGTCCGGTTGGTATGGGACTGGGATGTGATCCTGAGAAGAGACAGAACAGATAAAGATAAGCATAGGCTTTATTCAGACTTAAGTATTTGTAATTTTAAGGTGAATTTATAGAGTCAAATTTACTAAGTGGGGGCAAATTAGCGTGAGGCTGCAATCGCTAAAAATGCCCCCATGAGAGACGATAGCTCTGTGGTTGCTCTACGAACAATGAGCTCATTTAAACCACAGTTGAGGTAATGACCAATGTAATCTACCAAGAGCAGCAAAAATTAATGGAACAAAAATAAGCAGAGCCGATGAGGGAAAGAGTAATGTACTAACCAAAATAATATAGTGTGAGTGCAGGTTGCACACGTGTTTCTCTCTGGAAACAGCATGGCAATTAAGATAAACAAGAGGCAGTTGAAGAGGAATCAATGTTTTTGGCAAACTCTGTGGTTAGAAGTTTCCAGGGACAGTATGAGTGTATATATGTGTGTCATCGCTGGGTAAATCTGACAACTCGGGTGAAGCACATGATTTATCAAGTGCATCGCTGCCTTACCGCAAACTCTTCTACTTAAAAAAATTGAAATGTGTGTGTTTGTGTGTGCGTGACTTGGGTGCATATTAAAGAAGTTGCTGTTTCATGCATCGTTTTTGTTTTCTCTACACAGCCAACTTAAAATTTTGTAAGATTAGACATTCATATAACACACGTAAGTCCCTTTCAGCCCCATTAACTGTTGTTTGGCATTAATTGTAGACATGCAATAGATCCCATGAAGATCTAAAACAACACGTGGCTATAAGTGTGTGCGATGCAGAGAAATACAACACACACAGAAACTGTTTTTATTGTGAGTTTCTCTCCAGAAATGTGACCTAAATCTCCAAAACTGCAATGTACAATGTTGCAATCTGCAATGAGGCTGTCCACACCTTTCAGTTGCACAATTGACACTGCACATATTTAATAAACACCAACTGTAGCTTTTAAAATCACTAAAAGAGAGTTTTATACTGACACAGTTACCAAATCTGGCCCTCAGTTTGTTAATTGTAAAAGGCTCTCACTCTGCTTTATTGTTGAACTCTCTCTCCGTCTAACTTGGAGCCTCTAGACTGATTTTCTACCTTCAAGGCAGAACTTTTTATTCATTTCAGTACAAAGTAAACATCAGAGACTTGGAACTTGCCTGGCAGATGTAATCCATCACAATGAGAAATGTAGTCAACTTTACTTTTCTGTAAAATGTTTCTCATCTTCTCATCTTATTCTCATCACATCAGATCAGTTCTTCAGCCGAAGATTTTGCAAAAATCATTTCAGATCTAGATGACAGCCCCTGACTAGACTCCATCTAGTTTAAATTCAAATAGTTACTTAATATAATCATTTCATACTGACGTCTAGTCATCCAAAGACTTGGGTGTAGCATTTTATTCATTCAAATAATTCAATTCATTTAATTTTCAGTGAAGTTCTTCCTGACTTTACAGACTTAAAATCAATTTAGAAATTAAACAATTTAGAAATTTTATCCAGAAAGCAAGCAAAAAAAAAAAGAAGTACCTGATATTGATGAAAAATAGACAATATTTTTTTGTTCAGCAGCCAACTGTTAAATCTCAGGTGCCCTTGAAATGCACCAACACGTAGAGATTTCAAACTGTTATCCAAAGAGAAAACACCAGACAAAAATTAGGCTTTTCAATATGATGGATCATCTTCCTCAAGCAAATTTATATAGTTTCTGCTACTTGATTTTGAAAGCGCACTGGATAGAGAGAAATCAATGGCTGCCTGGAAGGTGGTAAAGCAACCTGAAGAGTTAGGGAATACTTTGTAAAAACAAAAAGAAAAATAAATCAGAGCATCTGTAGTTTGTAACAAATGATCAAAGTCTATTGTATAAGCAATATAACAATCAATCAAATGCAAGTTAGATTTTAGGAAGATATCATCATCTCCTGCAGAAAAAGATTAACTCTGAAAAATTATATTAAAAAGTAAAGATAGTATCAATGTGGTATGTGCAGCTCAACTGGTGCACAGCAGATTGTGCACTGCCATATATTTTGATACCTAACGTCATTAATTTAAATTATGATAGAACCACAGTTTGAATTTGCAATTTGAAAGAAACATACAAACACAAGAAAACTAAATGAATTTAGTTTCTAATTCTTTAAGTAATTATGATACGAACATGAAATAAAATCCAGGGGTTAAATGGTTATTTTTTAATTATAATCACTCCACAAGATAATTGTTCCTAATAAACTTTAAATTACATTTATCACATCTGAAGAAATTAACAGAATTTAGTGATACCACCATTTTACTTTACTTAAGAATATTTCAAAGTTTATAACCAAGATTTGAGTTTTGGAAAAGTGAATCCATGAGAAACACAAAAAATATGTGTGTTGACAAAACTAACACACTCCAGTTTCTGAAAACCTCAAACTGTTAGACAAAGGCATACATAAAAGCTGTGGCTTACTCACATGTTCACACCTGCCCATTATTTCCTAACAAGCGTGTTTGTTTCACAGTCTTTCCAGCATGGTGTTACCACCATGGGAATTTAGTGATAAACTTTTTTCTCTGGAACTGAGCTGAATTTGATAGATGTGCTGGCTGTAAAATATCCAGTGTAGGAAAACAAATCCATCTGTGTAAACATCAATATTGCTGAAGATATTTTCGTATGGTTTCCTGATTCCAAATACACAATGACTCACAAAGCTCCCAAAAATAAATGAAAGCGATATGTAGGACAAGAAATACGCAGATTGTAATACACGGTTTATTTTTTACCCTTACCTTGTTGATTTTGTTGGTTTTGGGGAGCGTCTGACTGATGTGCAGGTCTGTGTACCTGAGCGGGTTGTTGATGTCACATGGCACTGATTCAGTCCGTACCAGACGAGCTACTGCAGAAAGAAAAAAAGCATAAAGGAACAATGAAGCACTACAGGAGATTGACATTAAACAATAATTGCCTAACAGCTTTAGGAAAATTAGACAAATTCTTTATCAGACACAGCTTTTAATGTGAAAAAAATGAACAAACTGCCTCTCCTTTAACACCATCCATCTTTTATCACACACACACACACACACACACACACACACACTCACACACACACACACACACACACACACACACACTGTTAAAACAAATTTCCTTAAGCAAACTATGTCATTAATAAACTGTCATTTTCTCTTACGAAGGCAGAGAAGACATCTAATTAGTGCTCTTTACCTTGAGTTGTTCCTTGATGATCTTATTTTGAGAAGAAGGAAGGCAGAGAGAGGACAAAAGAAAAAAAGATTCTTAATTCTCATTGCAGATAATAGGAATTTCTTCAGTGCTGTCTGTGTCAGTATAAACAGCTTATGATGCACATTTGTCAAACCTATATGGCTTAATTAATCAGGAGATAGCCTATACCTGCAGAAGCAGTTTCACTTTTACAAATGAAAGCTGAAAAAATATATAACTTCATTTGCTCAATGGAATCAGATATGTCCAAATTTAGTTAATCACAAGAGCTGTAGAGCCATGCCTTTGGGCTGCCTAAAACAAATGAGAGCTAGATAGCTTCACAAGGCTTGACAAAGGCATTAATCCTGGCTGAGCTGGCTAATAGTTAGGCCTCCCGTACTCTCACACAACGGTTTTAGAAGTCTTGTTAACCATTTATTTATTGCTTAATTATCTGTTAAACATAATAAAATAAAAACTAATAGTCAACAAGTGTAAAATAACGTCTTGATGCATGCTCAATCATCCAGATAAGTAAATCCCAAAAGGTTGATTCTGTTCATCTGGACGTCACGTTTTCAGTGGGACAAATGTTTCGTCACTCATCCAAGTGACTGACTTTACAACAATGGGCTGTAAAGTCAGTTCCTTGATCATTAATATGCAAATTCTCATGGCCATTGATCAACAACTACTGATCAAAGCCCATTGATCAATGGCCATGAGTACCATTCACAGAGAGTTGGGGAATGGCTGCAATCACAGCATTGTAAGATGGCAAAAGATGTACCCTTAGGCCCCCTCCTGGATTCAGAGATGGCCCTTCCTTTTTCACATAAATGGCCTCCTTGACTCCACGCTCAAACCTGGAACGCTTTCGCCATCTTACAATGCTGACAACTCTCTTTAAATGGTACTCATTGCCATTGATCAGTGGTTTTTGATCAATGATCAACAAAATGTGAAAGTCCGTCAATTTTGTATAAACATAATATCAACATTGGAAATTACATCAAAAAATACCTTTGAGGGATTCCCGTCCGCCTCGCTGAATGATCAGTAAATGGCAAGGTGGGGCTTCTTTGGTGCATTTGTTGTGGCACTTCAGCCTGAGTATGCACGAAACAGAAACTTGATTAGTGTGTGTTTTGTTGTTATGTGGTGTTTATTACACAGCAATAACATCTATGCAAAGTGGGTGGAAAAAGAGACAGATGCAAATTGGAAATTTATTCAAGTAAGCTGAAAACAAAAGGGGTCACTGATGTGTGTCATGTCGAAAAACAATCAAAAGAGACAAAGAGATATAATTGAAAAACAAGCGGGATGGCACACTAATTAAACAAAGTAATGACAGGAATATAAGCGAATGTGTGGGATTAGATATTAATTACTAATGTGGACACTGACAACAATGGGTACTCAGCACTGACCAGTACTGATACCTACTTGCAGTTTTTACATTTCAGTCCAAACAACATTCCCTTTCCACATACTATGCATGTCTGGGACATCCAGTATTTCGTGGAAAACCTACAAGCCAAAAGAAGAGAAAGTGAGATTCCGAAAAAGGGCATCGATTTTTCACTTGTTGCACATCTATATGACATGAAGGAGCTGAGGATTACAATGAGAGGAACACGGGTTCTGACCTTTTGCCTTTCATAACGTTCTCTCATTCTGACAGAAGGCTTTTGGCAAACATATCTCATTCCCTGCCTAACCTTTCTGCAAGGATAATAGATGCCTGAAGAAGCTACTCCTCTGAAAGTGTTTACCTTCCTAATCTCCCTCACCTCCTGATTTAATTTGTGGCCATTTCATTTTCATCTTCCAGTAACACTGTGCGAACGAATAGGCTGTATGGTTTTTACATCAATATAACAATCAGTTTGAGTAACGGGGATTCACAGGCCTGTGTCGCTGCTGAGGATTCCAACACAGTCTCTTCTACAATAAACAAATCCACAATGTACTTTGGTACCAACAACCAATTCCCTTCACACACTAAGTGGTCTGAGCACATATGTGACTATTGGCTGATGCAATGCCAGCAGTGTGGCTGGCTAATGGCAGGTGACTAATGTAGTCTGACAGAATCAAAATCTCTTTATTATGCCAATCTTTTTCATCAACTGAAAGGCACAACTTACTCCAACCAACTCCACCTGACTGATTTCTTTAGTAGGCTGTCAACTATGAGTGATAATATGAAATTAAGAGCCGATTCTGCTTAAAAAAATTTATCTTTCAGCACAGGAGAGGCTCTAAAGTGGTGGGTTATTCACTACTTTCCTAAATACATTTATCATAACATGCCAACAATATGATCAAGGGCACACTTCTGAAAACTGCAAACTGACATCAAGGAGGCTGCTGGATGGAATAATGGTATTTCTTAAAACCATTAATCACCTTAATCTTCAAATAACAGCTATATACATTACATTTGTGCTCAGTTTGGCTCCGTATAAAGATGCTTAGAGCTCCTCTTTCCACCTCACAGACTTTCAACAGGAAAAACACCCACGATCTCGAGGTTGCTAAAATCCTCCAACTAATACTGTAGCTATTGTTTTACTTTTTAGATCATAAGCACCCTGCTTGGAGTCAAGCAGGGTGAGAGTGAGAAAGAAAACTGAGTAAGTTACACAAGAAGCCCTTTTTAATTGGACTGCCATTCTATCACAGATGTGAGCATATGCACAGAAGGAACCTCATCCACACTCACCCACATATTTTCCTTTAGGCCTACCTGTGTTTTATTGAGTTTCCCAGATCTCGTCGGGGAATCTGTGGGGACCAGCGAGGCACTGAGAGAGTGTCTGGAGATAGAGTGGAAAGGAGAGGGCAGAGGCATGGTTTTTACTTTTTTAAGTCTGTCAGTATGTCTTTCAGAATTGACTAAATGTCTGGTATTGTGTATCACATTTAGCATGTATGGCATTTCAAGGAATAGACTGTTTTTGTAGCAACAAACTGATATTTTGGTGTCAGCTTTAATTAGCTGTAGAGAGTCAGGTTTAACAAAATGCTGTCCTTGTTATCAAGATAGAGTAGGTAGGTAGGTAGTAGAGGCAGAGGGAAAAAATCAATAGAGTATAGCGTCATGATATTTTGCATGGCAATATCTTATCGATATACTGACACAAAAAAATCCATATCTTATTATATAAATTGCAAATACAATTTGTTAGTACAAATGCTACAGAATGCTACTCTTGGCTGCTCCCTTATTCACAAGGGGTTATCACAGCAGGTAGTGATGCATGTTTGATTTAACAGAGTTTTACAATGGATGCTCTTAATGACACAATCCCAAATAAATTTGTGTCTCTTCCTGGGGGGTGTTCGCTTGTTAGGATAAATATAGTATTTAAACCACTACACCATAGATTAATAAAATCAATTAAAGTCCACCGGATGGCACTGTTAACTTTTTTCTATTAAGGTTAGCAGAGGTGACAATGTGCTGGATGAAGTTGGTAAAACAATATTATAGATTGGAGAAAGCCAAGGAAGCACCATCCGTGCTTTAACAGGGACGAGACAAAGACGATGGATGTGACACATCGCATTTACAAAGTCAAATCTCCCACACCACCATCATATGATAACAATAGCCAAGGACACCAAAGCAAACTTTAAATCAGCTCAAGAAATATGCAGTGAGTATTAAATGAAAACTAGTTTCTACAAAACCTCCTTAGTCTAATAAGGATCTCACTTTTTCCATAAAAAAGGAAAACCTTATTGTATCAGTGGATAATTAGCGGGAAAACCTGGATTCAAAGCAGAAGAACAGCTGTGTAAATAAATGATAATCTGATTGTTCTACCAGTTTTCCAGACAATTTAAAAACAGGCAGAATGCTGATGGGGCACCATCTTTGTGTATGGGTGTAACAACAACTGATTTCCAAATACCTGTGTCTCTCAGATCCTTCATCATTATTGTGCCTATACCAAAAAACATCACTAACTCTGGAACGTTGAAATAATTTAATAATTTTGAGAACCTCTAATCCTGAAAAATACCCAAATTTAAAGTCTGTTTGATCTGAGCGCATACTGATGTCACTGACTGAAAATCCCTGAACAATCGTGGCTACTGAAATAGAGGTTAATAGACTGCATTACTTTTACCAAACTATGTATTAAGTTTCCATTTATTTGAATTTTGAAGGGTTTTTTTCTTGACAATATCATCCTGTCATTTTATTTAACTGATCCCAATTTTACTTTGAGTTGCCTTCTCCTTTTTTTTTTTTAATTAAAGAAATCGGGCTTTTCCTTGCAACTCCTTTCTCTCTCCTGTAGCTGTTGTAACCAGCCACATTTATTGCAGCACTGGCGCTATTTTCATTAATCCAGGTCTCATATAAACATAGGAAGTCCAAATAGGGGCTGGGGATGATAAACTCCCCCACTTTTACACTTTATGCTAGTTATATTCAGATTCTTCCTGAAAGATCCTGCGGCTTAGCTTTAGAGCCGCAAATAACTTTGGAAAATTTTTCTACTAGCAGTATTAACAGTCCATGGTTTACTGATGCCTGGAGCTGGCTTTGAATCTTGACTTCTGAAACCAGAAAAAGTTGAACAATGATGTTTTAACATCATCTTCAAATTCACTGGAGTCTGCAATTGGCATTTGAACACTGTTTGACACCGTGCTGACCTCCTTATTTTTGAGTGGCTGCTTTTCACTGGAAATTCTTCATCCTCAAAGGCCACCTCCAGTCCTGCCACAGAGTTAATCAAGTCAACACCACACAGGTGAGCCAGGTTATACGGCGGCCACTCCATTTGTGCTCCCTCTTCTCCAATAGCTTATTCTTAAGCGGTCCAGGAGATGGATAGATATCCCCAGGGAATAGCAAGCAGATTGTAATGATCAGCACATTGCTCTGATGCACTTTGTGTTATATTTTAGCATATTACTTTTTCCCGTTGTTTATGGAAAACAAAGGTTTGTGGCCAAGGCATGCTCTCCATATCCAACACTCTTAGCTCCTTTTAATTGATGGCCGACTGTACTAAGTATATAACAGCTGTAACCACATGAAACAGTATTACCGCAAACTTGAAATTGTTGTAATAGATTAAAACATACTGATGATTAAAAATAAACCAGTAGAATCACAACCAGAACTGATCCCCCTGTAACAATCTTAGCATCTGTACTGCACTGTGCTGAGATTTTTAACTGTCTTGAATGTTTTCCATGTGTGAATAATCTCTTGTAGAGGGGTGGACTTCAAATTGCTTGGTTTTATAATCCTTCTCAGACTGAGAAGCAGCAATAATTGTTTCATTGATCAGAAACCATTGCTGATACAGTTCCTCCTTAGCTTCACAGGCATCTGAATGCTCCTCGACATCCTCCAGCAGTGCCTCCACAGGTCTGCATTCAGTGAAATTAGACTAGACTAATGCAAACACTTTAGTTTGTCAGGTGCATGCCAAATTTATGACACGTTTTATCAACAGCGTTATTCAGTTGGTCTGTTTGATAGACTGATAAAACAGGTACTGACAAAGTCTGCTTTTGGAGATACAATTTCCAATTGAAAAAGCAATAAATTGCAATATATGTTATTTCAATACTTAGTATATTGCAAAAATTTTAAACTGCAATAATATTTTATTGTGCATTAATGATAAAACCATATTGTGGAGTCTCTGGTGATTCCCACTTTAAGCTCGATTGGTATCTATGTAGGCAGGTAAAGTAAATAAACAGATGAGTATATGAATAGGTATAAATAATAAGTATTGTATGAAACGAGCGAGACTACACAATGTAATACATAATAAAAAACTTCTCTCTAATGCCCGTTGCAACCTTTTGGGATGAAAACAGAATAAGCTGAATCAGTACCACCTGTTTGAATTGTTTGCTGTAGATATCCCTTGATAGCCAAGCTACTTTAGTGTTATCTGTAATCTATTATAAAGAATTCTGGCTTAAAAAAGATTTTTACCACGAAAACCTTTCACATGGTCCATTAGTGCTTTCAGTAACTGAGCAGCCCGATTCATTCATAAGCCACCTCTTAATACCAGGTGAAAACAGCATCCAACACTGAATTGCCTGTGAAGGCGGCTGGATGTGGTAGATATGCATTGAGATGATATCACACTCTAAAGATGTGCTGGCTGCAATAATTCAGTAAGAAAAGAGCAATGCTGAAAAATGCTGACATAGTCAAGGGTCATGGTGGAAAAACCCATAATAAAAGCTCATTTTTGGGTGTTATTTCAATTTCTGCAGAAACTGCACTACCACAAGTCCACAGGTAATTTTCAGTTACACTTTTACCAAAAAAATTAAGAGGAAAACATATCAAAAAAGCCATTATAACACTTACATATTTCTCAGAAGAGTCTATTTTTTTTTATTAAAGATGTTATGTATGTTATGATAGGAATGCTAGCTAGAGCAGTCTAAAGCTGACAATAAGGAGCAGGCTGCAGATAGAAAGATGCATTTCTAATAATTATTTCTAATTTTCAATATTATTTTCACACTTGGCTCTAATAATTCAGCAATTATAAACATAAATCTGTCATAATGTGTCACAAATGTACATGTCCCACATTGGGAGAATAAATTTGTTTCATGAAAACACCACAACTGTATATATGCAGTATTTTGAGATTGTCAGTATACACAGTTTTATTTAAAATGACTCCCAGAAACTTTTGCACAACTGCAAATGCTTGTGCCACCAGAGCACGATGAATGCGAGTTTCAAAGCACTTCCATCTTTTATACTATTTATAGTTTCAATGCTCAACTTTTTATGCTCAACTGACTACCAGAATACACATAGTATTTATAGTTTCATAAAGATTTGGGTATCTACTATATAGCTAAGTTCATCCAGTCTTGCTAATAACACTTGCTAGCATTAGCGGATAACATAGCCCTACACCATCTCAGTCAAATACGGTCACTTTTGGCTTAAATAAAACCAACGTGGTGGTGATCAAATTTCTAACATTAAGGCATCCACATGGAGTTTTACAAAACTCTGTCCTTATCCATTCAAATCTAGTAAGGGTTTAAACATATTGGCATAAGCCTGATACCCAAGTCATTGGCATTGAAGCAAATTAAAGTAAAAAGAAGAAGAAAGTTTTATATTATGTTATTTTTTATAATGATTTATATTTACTAAATTACTAGGTTTTCTTTAAGTACATTAACAATTTTCTTAGATTTTTGTTACTCGAACAAGGCGTTTATCACACAAGTTTCTAAATGGCCTAATGTACTTTTAGTAACACTTTTTCAGCACGAGCGACTGGTGTTTGAAGTTTTAATAACTGCAAGTAAGAAAGATAAGGAATCTTATTTTTCTCATCTGTTGAAAGGCACAGTCAGTTCTATTAATTCATTACAAGGCAGCAAGTAATCAGCAGCTGTCGACAGTGCTAATGTCATGGCCCTGGTGCCTTGAGCATTTCCTGGTTCCTGAAACACCCTTCCTCCACTCCTCCTCCACTCTCTCCAGGGGCTTGGTGTCTTCTCTCCACACTCCGATGCATTGCTCAATTACACTCAATCAACCTGATAACTCAATATAAAGGGAACTGACATCATCTGCTTCTTGTCCCCTTTGTTGGCAACTGGCAGATGATTGGGCTTGTCATTGGTGGGACCAGAGAGGTTTGTGTGTGGTTTTAACAGCGATGATTTTCTTTAACAAAAATCTTCTATGATCCTGGGACTCCTACAAGAGCAGGTAATGAGCATTTATGTCAAGAGAACACAATGAAGGCAGTCAAGTAAAAGCATAAGCTTAAGACATGACAGA